GATTTGAAAGGAAGGGGAATGTCACGGGTTTTTAAAGATGAATAGTGATGACAAATGAATATATAGTAACGACAAACGAGGTCAAAAATTTAGAATTTAAAAGTCAAAACTTTAGAATACTCACAAACTAGATTCTAACAAAAATAAGATTTTCTTATTGCGATAAAACCTAGTTTAGGTATTAATGATGTCTTGCCCTCCAACGTGAACTGTGCTCCTTGCTAAAAAGCATAAATGAGAGAAAAGAACTAGTAACTGACGAAGAATTTATTATATGGGTAAACAATTCCATCACCAGAATTCATTTCATGTATATTAAGACATGTATATTTAATGGTTAATTGTATATCTCTGGAGCAAAATAGTCATAGGAAACACGTATCTGGGAATAAAATGAAGATCCTAGATTGCAATTGTTTTTCCCAACAGATACCACGTGCATGCTGTAAATTGTTAAAAGCCATAATAGCTGAGTTGGGGAAGTTCCCAAGAATTGGCCAGAAGAAAGTGTGGTGTTCGTGTATAAAATTATCTACCCTTCTTCTGCCTCCATCTCATGATCCAATCAAAGAAATTTATTCAACAATGGCCAAACATTTAGTTAGGTATAGTTTATTTGATTATACAGTTCCTCATCATAACCCTTTTTATGTTGTTCCAACCATAATTATATAAGATTAAATTTCAAAGCACAGTTCATTATTTCCATGAAAGGAGCGCGTTAATCCATGTTATACCGCAACAGAGTCGTAGTGTAGGTGAAATGAATTGTAAGTGTGCCATGTGTTGACGAATATTGGTACGTGTTGAGGGATTATTAGACAATTGTCTCAATGCAGCACTTTGGAAGGGGTCATAAAACTACAGTACTACACTACAAAGAGTGATGATGATAGAGTTGGAATTGAAATCAAGGGTGATTTGGTTAGGCATGCATGCCCTAAAGTTGGGACAGTTGGAGTATAATGTTTCAGTCGGTGGAGAAGAGTTTGGTGAATGAATGTGACGCGAGTTTAATGCACCATCGTCGTGCCAATGCAAATGTGAAAGAGATTAATGAATAATATCACACTTCAAATCCAAAGGAAAATTACTTCATCACAAACTGTATAATACAAACCAGTGAAGAGTTTTAGCTTTTTAATATCTCAAAAACTTCATGAAATGTTTTGGGGTTGTTCCTTCTTTGAAACAAACTATGAGCCTTTTTTTCACTTTTTAGAACGTGACTCGGATAATGATTACATTAGTTCATCAGTTAATTAAATGCGTAATCAATTATAAATGTTATTCATTTTTTACTTAATTTTTCAATATAATTACGTTAATTTGAATTCAATAAAAATATTAAACTTCAGATTTTCGTAAATTTAATGAAATTCTCAAATATCTAACTTTTTTAGTAAATAAATTATTTTTATGACAACGAAGTAAACAAGTTTTGTCAAATATGTTTGTAGATGCAGAAAAGAGAATAACTAAAGCAAAGACAAGTATATTATGCAAAGTGAACACAATTGCTTTAAATTTGCATGGGATAAAATTCCAATGACATTTTGTAAAAGGATAAGTATTAATATTAAATTATTTTCATTTTTCTACTTTTATTTTTTGACCCATAAGCAATTCTTGGAAAAAAGCAAAACAAACCCATCCTGTTTTTTATTATTATTATTATTATATATGATATTTATATCATATTTTTCTCCTTCCTATCTTCATCCACTAATATTCTGCTTTGTATCCAAAAGTCCTTCATAAATATTTTTTTATGAAAAACATGAACATATCATATTAATTCTGACAATAACTTCCTTTTTCTCTTATAATATTTCCATAGATATCTCCTTACACAAACGAAATATATTATATTATATATTTTTTAAATATAATATATTATTGTTTTGATTTAAATCAGATAATCTACTTTATTTATTTATTACATTAATTTAGGATTTTTAATATAAATACATTATGAGTAATTTGCAAAATATTTGTCAACCTTATATAACCTATTTGTATTTATTAGGATTTTTATGCAGAAAAAAATATTAGTTTACGATGTGCAAATTCAAATAAAAACACATCATGTGTTATAATAATTTTTTATTTAATTTAAATATTCTCATAAACAAACATATAAAACACCGACATTTCACTATAGGAATAGCCACACTTTTTAAAAATAGGCGTGTCCCATACAAAGTCCTGTCTGTCGGTACGGTTAATAATAATAATAATACAATAGAATTTTTAAAATTAAAATACCTATTTATAATCATCATGATAAAAATAATGCTAAAAAATTATCAATAACAAGAATATTAAAAAAAAATCGATATACAAAAATAACACATAATAAGCAAAAGTGCGTGTGATGCACGCTACAAACAAGTGTGAAGACAGAAGAGGTAATAAGTTCGTAGATCCAAGTCGTTTATTAGAAGTTAAAGACGTACGGAAAAGTCATAGTGGTACGGTAACATAGGTCGATGTCTATTTTGTTTTTATTAATTTAAATATTTTTAGGCTTAATTATTTTTATAAATATATTACAGAAAATGTATAAACTTGTTGTGGAGGAAACTTCGTTCTTTCTTCGTAAGTCATCCTTTTCACATTGAATAACTACTTATGATTTTTTTTTATACGAGAAAAAAAATTATCATGAGTTTTCAATACATTCTGCGTGATACATAATTTGTTATAATTATGATAATTTGTAACATAATAATAACTTTGAAACGGTTATTCAATTATCATAAAGATTATTTGTTTAATAAAAAAAATATATTTAATATTTGAATAGAAAATATTGATAAATATATATAATTTATATTGTTTTATTAAGTAAAATTTATGTAATACTACAAAATATAATTTCATGAGTTTAAAGGAATATTATTGAATAATAAAAATAATACAGTAGAATGACATATTTTTTTTCTTATTTATAATAATAAAATTATTTTAGATGAATTTAAATTTAAAATTCAACCCATTGTAGTACAATATCATGTAGGGATCAAATAATCAAATTTAAAAAACAAAAAATCAATTATGAAAAATAATTTTTTTCTCACACACCACAGTTTAATTTCAAAACTAAGATTACAAATCAAGAATAAAAATATTTATTGACTTAAAGATAATAAATATTAATTACCAATTCACGTATTGTTTTTTTTTCAAACACAATAAAAAAACACTATAATTTCTATCTGTAAAATTATGTAAGTTATTATAATAAAAAAAATTAAAATTATAAATATAAATAACAATTTTAAAATATTTTATAATTATAAAAATTATTTTTTAAAAATATTTTAACATTCTTAAAATATATTTAATAATTTTAAAGTAAAAAAAATGTAAAAATTAATCATAATCAAATGATATAATACTTTTCAATTTCATATGAGATTAAAATTAATAAAAAAAATCAATTATATTTAATATTTTGTATATTGTTTTAATCACAATTTAATAAAAGTTAAACTGAAATCAATCACAAACAACTTACAATATCTCAATAATATTAAAAAATTTAGTTTATAATTTTAGAGTACCATGTAATCAATTTTGTCTAATAAAATAAACTTTACATCATTCATTTTAAAAACATAAACTGTAGTTCTTATATTTTTTATTTAAAAAGCTATTTTTATATAAAATAAATCTTAATTTAAAAAAAATAATTTATCACATATATTAACTTCAATGAGATTTCAAACAAAATTCTTCAATTTAAAAAAATCAATGAATCTCTTAAATAATATATCGTTATCTATGTTTTGATTTATTCTGTGGTACATGTATATCCAAAATTCGAAATGCAAACGCGGCTTCACCGACACTACTACGTGGCATGGTTCATTTGATAAGTAGCGTATTCTTTTTATTTCTTTGTATCACTCTCGTCAGGTCACAAATGATAGACATTAAATCATGTCTTTAATTTTTATTTTTATTTTACAATTTGTCAGCTTAATACAGTAAATGTTTTTTGATTGACTTTACTGAAATTGAAACTTAAAATATTACATGTATTATTTTAAAAAATTTAGTAGTAACTTAAGAATTTTTTACTCATTATTTAAAAAAATTAAAAACAGTTTCATCCTAAATTAATGTGTATAAATTATATATTTAATTTTTAAATAGTTTTTTCTAAAATATTTATCAAATTATTTTTCAAAACATCCTAAATCAATATTTATGAATAAAGATTTAATAATAATGGTAATATAAAAATATTTATTTTTATCTACTCATCTCTAATGGTTTACTTTGATATATTCATGAGTATTTATGATTATTATCACGAATTTAAATGAAAATAATTAAGAGATATTTTAACGTTTAATTTAACAAAGTAATATTTATAATAAGAGTAACAAATATCAAAATAAAAATTTTCAAGTGATATCAGAATGGATTTTTATCTTCTTAATATCATATATGTTAATCATATTGTTATATCGTAATAAAAGTTTAAGATAATATTCATCATCTTAAATTTGTTTCTCTTCCCTCTTACAATTTGTTTACAACATTTGCTGTTTAAAAGAAAATGTTTATGTAATATCCATTATTTTTGGTATGAAAATTATTCTAATAAAAAATGTTTTACAATTTTTTTTACTTCTAATTACCGTTTACTCTCTCTACACTTATTCAGTGCTGTCTCTCTCTTTCTGCACTTGACACTGGAAAGTCTAGCTTTGGTATTCTCACACAGCACTTTCTAGAGTTTGGTACAGTGATTGGCCAAACATAACTCAACCACTCCACCCATATTGCTCTTCATTCTTTACTTTCACACTCACACACATACTCTTCCTCATTTTCATGTCTCAACACCTCTGAAGGGAGTTACTGTATGCCATTGTACGCAACCACTTTACTTTCTCTCTCTCTCTCACCTCTGAACTCTCATCTTCTCTACTTTCTTTTTCCACCAAAACAATAGGGATACAAACACAACCTTCCAATCTCCAATGGCTGATGCCACCAAGTACGTTCCCATAGGTGGTGCCAACCTTTCCACAGACCTCAAGACCTTCTCATCCATTCTCAAAACCAGAAAAACAGTAGCTTTTGCATACGCTTCCATACTTGCCTTTGTGGCTTTCACTGTTTTCTTAGCCTTTTCCCCTTCTCCAAACGCTTCCTCTCCCTGGTTCACCAACATATTCTCTTCCACATCCACCCCAGATGGTTCTTACAAGCCTCAAATCCCTTCCATTTTCTCACTCCTTTTTCCAAACACTTCTTCATCCTCCAATTCCACTGATCCACTGCTTAACAACACTAACACGTCTAGATCTACAAATGCCAATGCCGCTTCTCTTTCTCCTCATCAAAACACCACCTCAGAAACTCAAACACTCAAAGTAACCTCAAACATAACACAATCCTCATTTGTGTCATCCCAAGATGCAGTTCCTTTTCCAAGCACAAACCAGACCATGAATTCTCACGCGCCAAGTTTGGAGGTGAAGTCACCACCACCCCTTGTTGCTAAAGAACCATCTGGGGTTGTCAAAAATCACACTTTTAATTCTGGTGAAACTAAAGCTATAACCACAAATCAAACTACAAATGCCACTGCATCCGCAACATCTGCAAACAATGTTTCAGTGAGTTTTCCTTTCCAGAACATTCCACATCAGAACTCAAGTTATAATTCTTCCGTGAAGGTGGATTCGGCCAAGGGTGTTGCCTCCGATGCTAATTACAGTGTTCCACATCAGACCTTGAGTTCTAAATCTTCTGTGAAGGCCGATTCGGTAAAGGGTGTTGCCTCGGATGATAATTATACGGCTTCTCTGGCGAGGAAACAAATTAATGGGAAGAATCACGCTAAAGGGAACTATGCATGGATGGAGTCTCTCATGAAGTGTGATTTTTTTGATGGAAAGTGGGTTAAGGATGATTCCTATCCTCTCTATAAGCCAGATTCTTGCTCTTTGATAGATGAACAGTTCAATTGTATTAGGAATGGAAGGCCCGATAAGGAATATCTGACATATAAGTGGAAGCCTAAGGGTTGCAGCCTCCCGAGGTATTGAAAAACATTGAATTTGTTGTTTTTAGTTTTAATATGTTTAAGTTTTTTTATTTGATGGATGTTTATGTTAGTCCAAAATTGACAATATTTGTCTGCTTCGTGTTGGTTTTTTAATTGGTTCATGGGAAATTGCTATTTTGTATTGTACTAGAATTGATCCATTCGATGTTTCTTTTGGGGGTCCCAATTTGGTTGAATTGGTAATAGGTTGGATGCGCATCGAATGCTGGAATTGTTGAGAGGGAAGAGACTGGTTTTTGTTGGCGATTCGCTCAATAGGAACATGTGGGAGTCTCTGATTTGCATATTGAAAAGTGCTGTGAAAGATAAAAAAAATGTTTATGAAGCAAATGGAAGGGTTCATTTCAGAGGGGAAGCCTCTTATTCATTTATATTCAAAGTGAGTATTGAACTATTGTGTTTAGTTTTCCTTATTTCAGTTGATTTGTAATTCTTCGCCTCACCGAACTGGTTTGGTATGATCAGGATTATCACTTCTCTGTGGAGCTTTTTGTGTCTCCATTTTTGGTTCAAGAAGGGGAAATTACTGATAAGAATGGGACAAAGAAGGAAACACTTCGTCTAGATTTAGTTGGTCAATCTTCGTCTGAGTATAAACATGCAGATATTCTCATCTTCAACACTGGCCACTGGTGGACTCATGATAAAACTTCAAAAGGGTATGATATGACACTCAACTTCCCTTTCATTGCAATTGATAACTATTGAGTGTTTCATTTTCCATTTGTATTCTTATTCATGACTGGTTCTTAAGTTCCAAGATTAGAGGAATCCTTGAATTGAAAGTGGACTAAAAATTGACAATGACAATTTTCAGACAGGACTATTACCAAGAAGGTAGCCATGTGTATTCTGAGTTAAACGTGCTTGAGGCATTCCGAAGAGCTTTAACAACTTGGAGTAGGTGGGTTGATGCCAACATTGATGCATCCAAGACCATGGTATTCTTCAGAGGCTATTCTGCTTCCCATTTCAGGTAAAGTAGAAATAATTTAATTTCAATACACTTTGGGTGCATATGTTTTGACACTATTATCTAATAATAGTTTATCATTCATGATAACATTGTTGACTTTCATAGTAATTACTCTGTTCCAATTTCATTACTTATGGGTAGAAAGAAACACCGTTCTTGAGCACCCCCATCCCATTTGACTATGGTGCTAGAAGACTTACTCATAACTAGAAACTTCTGAAACTGCAGTGGTGGACAATGGAATTCAGGTGGACAATGTGACAGTGAAACCGATCCAATTGAGAACGAGAAGTACCTAACTGAATACCCAGATAAGATGATGGTTTTGGAGAAGGTGCTAAACAATATGAAGACCCGTGTGACCTACCAAAACGTGACTAGAATGACAGATTTCCGAAAGGATGGTCATCCCTCCATATACAGGAAGCAAAATCTAACTCCTGAGGAAAGAAAATCACCATTGAGATACCAAGACTGCAGCCACTGGTGCCTTCCTGGTGTTCCTGATATATGGAATGAGATTCTCTATGCTGAACTTCTAATGGGAGAGTATCGGAAACAGCATCAGCAAAAGAATCCATAGGTAACAAATAAATTACCAAACTTACTATACCATTTTTGTTCCCACGCCTAAAAAGAAACTATATACAGAAAATGCTTTTACATTCATAAAATTAAGTGAACAGAAGATATATACACGATTGAGACATGTGATGTGAGTATGTCATAGATTTGTTGATAGGGATAAATTGGTGGGTAGAAGAGAATACAAGGGTTTATTTATCATTGTAAATTTTCCTTTTTAATGCATTTTCATTTCCTTTTAAATTATGATTCTATTGTAAATCTAAATTTAATAATATTTTATTTATTATAATCAAATTATGAGGATTAACTCTTCCATCATCTTTTTTCATGTAAGTCTTACTCTATTTTTATTATTATAAAATTAATCAAAATACCGAGGAAGTTGTCAATCTAGTATTTTTCTGGTTCATTTTCCACATTTTTCGTAATCGGATTTAATTTCGAATGAAACATCAGTTTAACATTAACAAAAATTCAAGACATTAAAAAAAAAAAACTAACTTGGCGTCATGATAATATGATTAAACAAATTATAAATGTGGCCATATTATTTGAAAATTATGCACAAATAAAACTACATACTAATAATAACCATCATTTTCGAACAATTTATATGAATAAAATCATATTATATATTAGTTGAAAGGATATATTTTTAACTTAATATATTATGTGCAAAAAGGCAGGAGGATAGAGAGCAAATTACTGACAATTAAAGGACTTATTAGTGAGAAAAAGAACTACTAAACAAAAATCAGTAAATGAAGAAGAACGAGGAACATTGAGAAGGGATACCGAGTTTATAGTTAATAATTTTAATCTTTTACAACTTTTTTACTTATTTTATCTTTTAATAATTTAACCACGTATTGGTATTTTAATCATTCATGGTGTGAAAGTTTTCTTCTTCTTGGATATTTTTCTTCATTTAATATAATGCAATTAAACATAACTTTATTTAAATGTTGCATTGACGTAGCTGGAATAGAAGAGAGAGGTGTACTGAAAAGTAAAGCCCAAAGTGGAACCGATATATGGACTTGTACCCATCTAAATTAAGGATATTCATTTTGTGGAGCCCATTTTCCCCGAAATTAATGAATTACCGTTTAGTTGGGTCCGTTTGATTGTCACAAACATAAGAACACACGATAACACGTAAAATATTTTGTTTTGAATAAACTATTAATTGTTTATGAAATTAGTCTTAAAATTAATAATATATATATATATATATAAAACTAGGCACTTTTATCAATATATAAGTGTGACTTTTAAAATAAAAATAAATATTCATACTAATATATATCAATTATTAGTTATCAACATTTTGTTATTTTAATTTTTTAAAATTTATTAATTCATTTATTTTAACATATATTTACAAAAATAATCTTTATTTTTTTCAAGGGCAAAGTTTTTAGCACGAATTTCCTTACTTTTACAATATAAAATATGCATTTTTCTGTATTTTTATAGAAGAGTGACTGAATAACAGTTTTCCATTTCAAAATTAAAATAAATAATTTTTGAAAAGTTCTTTTATTTATTTAAATATTATTCTATATATTGAAAACTATTCTACCATTAAAAATGTACCAGCATGAAATTATTTTAACTTAACCAATGATCTTGAACTTAAGTATGTTACCATATTAAATACTTATAAATTGATTAGTATAAAAGATGATGAAACATAAAATTATATAACTTGAATGAATATGATAATAACATTAATTATTTATTATTTTATTAGTTTATTTATTTATTTATTTATTTTTTCTTTTATAATTTTTACCTACTCATATATTTAAAAATAAAAATCAAGAAAATTTAAACAAAATAATATAATAATAACAAGAAATGTAAACAAAATACTAATAAGTATAAGATTTTTATTCACTTGTATTATTATAATGAAAATAAAATAAAAGTAACTTTACGTTTTTTAATTGCTAAAAAAAATAAATATTATATTAAAATATGACCACTTTTTTATTATTAAAATATGTTAAAATCAGAGTATTGTTAGTTATAAAGAAAAATGTAAAATTAAAATTTTATTATTTTTTTTTATAAATCTATAGAACATATAAAGAAAAGAGTACAAAAAAGGAAGAATAATAAATATAAGATAAAAAGGAAAAAATTCAATTAGAAAGAAATAAAAAAAATTGTAAAAAGATAAAAGATACGTTTCTACTTTATATATATTTTTTATGTGTGAGTAGAAAAAAATAGTAATTAATACTTTTTATTTTATTAATTTACTATTTAATTTTTTTTCTTAATAATTTATTATTTTATATTTTACTGTGATAAAAAACAGTAATTAATATTCCTTAAAGGCACGTGTTATAAAAACTAATAATAAAAACATTATTTTAATATATATTTTATTCATAAAATGGAAGAGAGTTGTTTATATAAAAATTTCCTTTCAAATTAAGAAAATTGTATTTATGAAGTCCCAATAAATATATATTTAAAATAATATTTTTATTAATAAATAATTTGTTTTATAAAAGTCCTCATAGATATATAAGTAAGTTGGAGGAGTGTATGTGAAGTTAAGATAAAGCTATATGTAATTAAATCGAAAGATAATATTTTTCTATAGATTTTAAGTTTTTTTACTAACGGTTTAAGATTCTCCGTTTTTCGAATGTTTAATACAAGGATTTTATAGATAAATTATATTAATTCTTATAGATAAAATAAAAATAATATATTTTGGAAAGTTTCCTATCACCTAGTATAAATAATAGAGTGAGTGATAATAATTTTATAATGAATTGAAAGTCTCTAATAATACTATAGTTTAGTAAAAAAATCTTTAAACTTGTATTTATATATATATATATATATATATATATATATTTTTTTTTTTTTAATTTTGTAATAGAGTGTTATAAAGTTTTGTTTAAATTCTTATTTTAGAGGATATGGTGTATTTGGGGTCAGGACATAGGAGAATAATCTATATATTATAAAAAATTGTACATAGTATTTATTTCTAGTTATTATTAGATAATGATCATGATTTATTCTTCGATCATGAAGTTTTAATGTTTTTTCATGATGTTTATTCCATTAGAGTGACATCAAAGTTTATGCTTCAATAAAATATTTTTAATATGGTTTTTTTATTGTAACTTAAAATATTCTTAATATGTTTTGTGATTGTAGTTTAGTCTAATATAATTCCCTGTTAGAAAATCATTATTGATTGTTGAAGTGCAATATCATTTGTAGATGCTGTTAAATGTACCATATAGAAATTTGATAGAAGAATCAATTTTGAATTGTGGCAAACTCAAGTCAAAGATATAATTTGGATTACACAATACGTTAGCATTGATGCAGGCGTTGTCATGGAAAAGGACGAGTCTTTGTCAGTGGTAATTATGCATAGACTTTAATATTGATGTAAGAAGTGTAATGATTAATACATGAACACTAGTTAGCATTTATGCATGTGTGTAATAAAAGGAAATTCTTGTAATGATTTAATTCTAAGTGAGTATATTCTTTATAGTAGAGTATGAATGATTGTTGGTATAGACAATAAAGATAAAAAAGAAATGTGTTTAACATTGATGGATGAGTAAGCGCATTGGTTAACATTGATGTATGTGTGTAGTAAAAAGGAAATTTTTGGAATGATTTAATTCTAAGTCAATATAATCTTTGTGGTGGAGTATGAATATAATTCTTGATGTAAGTACTGGAGATAAAAATAAAGATGAGTTTATTTTAATCATAATAGAAATAATTGGGTGAATGAAAATAATATCTCTTAAAAAGTCTTATAAGAACTAGAATAAATATTGTATTTAACTTTTTTTATTGAGTGGAATAATGTGAGATTTAGTTTAAAGCTTTACTTAAGAGAATATGAAAGTATTTGAGGTGAAAGACGATGAGAGAATAGTACGAGAGTTGTAAAAAACTATATTATTTTTGGTTATTATTAGATAATAATCTTATTTTTCTTTCTATTTTGAAGTTTCATGTGGTAATTATTTTTATTTTATTTATTTGTTGACAGGGTAATTCTTAGGATGAAAGACGTTAATGTGTTTGGTAATTTTTTTTTTTCATTACCGTGAAACTATTTAAACAGCGGTAGGTTAATTATTAAACAACCTAGCACGTTAAAAAAATGAAATAAAAGCAATGGATCTATTACAAATTTATGTATGTATACAATTTTATTACAAATTAACAGACGAGAAAAATAAACTAGTAAGTGTGGGATAAAAATATTATAAGAAAATGATAACTCAAATTATAGGTAGTTTGGAATAAAAAATATCATTCTTAGAGGAGGAAAAAAAATTAAAAGAAAGAATGAAGTAAAATTTGTAGAAAAAGTGATATTTTATACAAAAAGGAGAATAGGTGATGAAGTTGAATGTCTTTTGTCATCTTCGATATACATTATTGCTATGATACCTAAACGACAAAAATAGGTCAATCAGATGAAGAAGAAGAAGCAATCTGATGGGCTACGTGGGCCTGCTGCGCGTGGGCTTGACCGTTATGTCAGGGCAATGATCTGGGCTTCTCCAAGGCAGAGATTTGAGAAACACTATTATCATTGGTGGCGGCGGCGCCGGGGGTGTTAGTGTTGGTGGCGACGCGTTCACAGGAGGGACACATGGTGAGGGTGGTGGCCGGAAGCTGCATGAAAAACGGTTGGCAAGTTTTGAAAGCCCTCAGTTCTTGCAGTTCCTTCTGCAACCTCCTATTCTCTTCTGTCAGACTCTCACAACACCTCTTCAAGTACTCACAATCAACCTCTGTCTGCTTCAACTTTGTTCTGTAAGTAATCATTCTCTTTTTTGTCAGAGAAAAATAAAAATAAAAATAAAAGCAAGAATCATGATTTCAGCAAGTTCTCAATTACCTTGCCCTTCTGTTCTGAAACCACACCTCCACTTGACGGGGACGGAGATTGAGCTCTTTCGCAAGGGCAAGTTTTTGTTTCTGCATTTTTCTTACGTAAAAAATAAAAATCAATAGCAAGTTGATTGAAACAGTGAAAGAGAGAAAGAGAAGGAAAGTGAGAGTTACGAACGGGATTGAGAGTGGTGTGTTCTTTGAAGCTGTCTTCGAGAAAAGCTGATTGTGTTTTGGAGAGTCTGAGTTTCTTCCTTGTTGACCCATTTTCGTTGTAGTCGCTGGCACCGTCACAAGACTTTCTGCTCCAAAAATCCATCCTAAAAGACGAGACTGCACTGGTGGGGGACGAAACTGCAGCACCGTCGTCGGTGTCGTCCACGGCCCTCACCGGAATCTCCGATGCCACACGTTCCATGCCTACTGTTACGAACAAACGTTAACATAGAGAGACATACGAGAGAGTGGAAGAAAGAAGATGATAAAAGGTAGAAATGTTTACGTGCACGGGAGAGCCATGGAATGGGAAGGTGTGAAGAAGGAAGAACAGGTGTTGAAGGAAGAAGGTGGAGCTGAATGGGTGGATCTGAGGAAGGTCTTAGCGAAGAAGCATTGTTTGTGGGGAAAGATAAGGGCTTGGGTGTGTTGCCTAAACTCAAACCCAATTCCATATGGTAATGGAAACTATGAAGAGGGAATGGTTTGTGGTAATGTTGGGAAAGAAATGAATAAAGGTTGAATCTTTTTAAACGGAAGTGAGAGTGTGAATGAAAAGGCACATACCACACTCCTGGTGCTGGAATGAATGAATGAATACTTTTTCTTTCTCCATTTTCACAAACCCACGTGAAGCCATTCAAATTCAAACAATTATCCCATCTTCTTGTTATTTTATTTTTCTACTTCTCTTCTCTGTTCAAACTAAAAAACTGTTTTGTTTTAAAACATTTTTTACAGTTAGTCAAAGTCTAATTCGTATTTTTTTCTTAAATATATATCTATTTGATATCTTATTATAATTACATAAACATAAAGATTAAAGTATTAAATAAGGAAATTTTATTCTAAATATAATAATATTTAATTTCCATTAAATACTATAATTTCTAAACCTATGTACATTAACCTTAAATATCTAACAACATGAGAAAAAGGTTAGTTGCTATGTGAAATGACACAATTTATGAGTTTTCAATAAAAGCAAAGCATGGAGAGAGCGTCATGATGCTAATGGAGAAAATGATAGAACATATATCATCCAAGATATTATAACACCTTTTTGAATGACACTCACAACCGCATCATATTTTCTTACTATTATAAATAAAATATAATTCAATTATATAAAAAGATATGATACATTTTTAATTTAAAAATTTAATATTAGATTACGATTTTTTTCTCACTTAATTATCTTTATTTTTTTTACTCAATATAAAATTTTAATTTATAATTAAATTTTGAACGATATTTTTAAAAGGTAAAAAATTAAAATAATTTCTTTATAAACTAAAATTAACTTACACATAAGCTAATTTGTATAAATCCTTGATATAAATTTTTAAAATTTTTATTTTTAAGGTGTACATAATTTAACTTTAATTATAAAAACTAATTTCAATTTTTTTATTTTATTGTTCTCGTATGAAAAATTTATGGTGAAACTCCTCCAAACAAATTTTAAAATGTAGAATGATTTTAAGTGTGGTTAATTGAATGAAATACCCAATGACTCTAGTGGCTTCCAAACGTTCATTTGTGGTTTCACTTCCACTAATAAAACAACTTAGTGCGTGTTTAGACTTTGATTACGCGTCATAAATGTGATTTTCCCCATCTTGATCCATGTTTGGATGATTAAAGTTAAAAAACAAAAATTAAAGTAACTATTTATTGTTTTGGATATAACTTGTACACGTTATATAGCATTATTTGACGTGATTTATTTCACTGTTTCTAAACACGGGGATACTCTTTACTTACTAGCATGTATAAGCATGTCAATCATTCTAGAGGAATAATTTTAATTTATTTTCCATGATTTTCATATGCTATTTTTATATTATATACGATATTTAAAATATTATAAAAAAATAATATTATTTCATTTCAAACAAAAATTAGGTTCGTTAATTACTTATCTAATAAATGGCACGAGTCTCATTGGGATGCATTTTTTTTATAACTTTAGTAATTATTCTGTTCAATGGTACATACACAGGTTAAAATATTATTATATAAGTCTGAAAATTTATTGTATATATTTCTTCATATTTATTTTAATTTTCCCCTCCTTTTTCATGGGTCTTCTTGGCATCATTGCCATATACTTGTAATAAGGAACCATTGTTTACTTCAGAAACACTAATACAGAAATCACTTTTAACATTGGTCTTTCTACATCGGTTCTTAAAGAACCGATGTAAAAAGTGAATTCAAGACTTTCTACATCGGTTCCTAAGAAAACACTGTCTACATCGGTTCCTGATGAATCGATGTAGAAAGTCTTTTTATAAAATTAAGAGAATTATTCTTAGCAGGACTCGAACAAAATACCTTAGAATTAAAGATCGATACTTCAACCACTAAACTACTAGGATTTTTCGATAATAACTTATAAATAAATTATATTTATATACAAATAAAAATGTATATCCATGTAAATATATAAATATAAAATATATAAATACAAATACAAATATATTTATATATTTATATGTTGGATGTGAGAGCGCGCTTGAGAGTGAAAGTGTGTGTCAAGTGGGTTTTCAAAATTTGATGTCAAATTTGTGAGCGAGTCTCTTTATATGAGTTTGTAATTTAATGATAGAATATAATATTTATAATTTATTTATAATGATATAGAATATAATCTTTATAATTAATTTATATAATGATATAAAATAAAGAAAAAAATTATTTTATATCATTATATAAATAAATTATAAAGATTATATTTTGTCATTAAGTTATAATCCATATAAAGAGACTCGCTCACAAATTTGACATCAAATTTTGAAAATTCACTCGACACACACTTTCATCCTTGAGCGCGCCCTCACATCCAACATATAAATATATAAATATAAATATATTTGTATTTGTATTTATATATTTTATATTTATATATTTACATAGATATACATTTTTATTTGTATATAAATATAATTTATGTTTAAGTTATTATTAGAAAATCGTAGTAGCTTAGTTGTTGGAGTATCAGCCTCGACTTAAGGTACTTAGATAGGGTAATTAGAGAGGGGTTATGAATAAAATAAATAAATAAATAAAAATATTAGACTTTCTACATCGGTTGTTAAAAGCCCCTGGAACCGATGTTAAAAGCCTATTTTCTACTAGTGAAACATGGAAACTGAATTTAGGAACAATGGGTCATTTTGTGCCAAATATTGTTTAAATTTTTTTTTTTCAAGAGTATTTCTACAAAAATAGTACCAAGAGATTAATCTAGAGATTTCTTTAAAGTGAATTTTGTTAGTCCAAATAAAATCATTTTATATGAATGATCTAAAATGTGGCATTAATCATCATGCTTAAAAATATCAATTATATGTTAATGTATCAAACTTGGTACTCAAAGCTACTATCATCATATACAAAAACAAAAGATATATATTTGTTATATATAGTTTATTATAATGACAATAACAACTAAATAAGTATTTATTGAGAAAAGAAAAAACAGTAAAATTGAGAGACAATATAAATAAATAAAAACAAGAGATATATTAAGAAATTGGATTATGCTTTTTTTGAAATTTAAAATATTAAATACATTTCTTATTCTTTTTATGATATTTGTCCTTCTTGTGTTATTAGAGATGATTGCAATAATTGAAGTCATGCAGACTTTAATGATAAGATGCAGAGAGAAAGAAGAGAGAAGAGAGAGGATGCGTGAATTATTGAGGAGGACAATCTTTCAGAAGACGAACAATGGCATAAAGTGAACACCACGTAATCATTGTTAATGGAATGTTATAGCATAAGTGAAGAACCTGTGAAATCAACTCTCTTTGCTGTCACAAAATATCAACCTTTTCTTTTTAGCAACTTTTTACCGCATTCAAAAAAGGTAATAGAAGAGAAGACTTGAATTGATTTCCCATTTACTGAACCCTTTCATATGGAATCCGTTTAAAGCTTTATGCATATATATTTGACAAGATGGAAGATTCCCTAATTGGGTGTGCAGTTTAATCTCTCACTATGTTCTCTTATTTGTTTTTTTGTTAATGTTTGCTTAGGGTTTGAGGGTTTTCTGTGAAGCAGTTTTGTGGTGTGTGACTGTGCTGGTTATGGTGCAGTAGTAACCAGTTAACATCATTGATAATTAGTTATTAGCATACCCATCTGAGTCTTCAAGCGTGGACCATAATGTGTTGCTCCTCTTAATGCAAAATTAGTAAGAAAAAAGAAGAAGGGTATAGAAAGCATGATGAGGGCATAGTTGTACCTGGCATGCATGATTGCACGCTACGAAAGCAAAGGAAAGGAATGAGGGAGTGAAGAAGGGAAGACGATGCAATTAAATGAATGAAGAGAAGTGAGGGTAACCATGCAATGCAACAGTTTTGTCCCCTCATGAGAGGTGATGATGGGACATTTGTCATGCTCTTTCCTTTCTTAATCATGGCTGTCATCATAATTGTGACCCTCATAATCTCATCGTCTTCTTCCTCAATCTGCTGGATGCCGTGCAATGCTGGCAAAATATGCGACAACCCCCCCCTAAAATATTTCATCGTCTTCTCTCTACCTTGGATTGGAATCATTCCAAGTTATAACGGAAATTATTGCACAGCAAGAGGTCTCCTTCCATCAAAGGGTCTCTTACGCTTCATTCAGATTTTCAAATTCCATAATTATGTGTTTTCTATGATAATATATACATATATTTCGATTTGATCGTAATTTATACATATAATAAGATTTAGAAATTTATTATTTATTTGTATACTTATTTTTAAAACTATATAATTAAAAAAAACGAAAAAATAATTAGAAATGGTTCAAACCAATTTATTAGCACTATTTTTAATTATTTATTCATTGATCTGGTGCAAATTAACTCATTGTTTAAATTTTTAGTTTGGTATAACTAATCTCATAAACAATTATTAAAAAAAGGGTCTAATTCATATAATAAAGGAAGTAGTGATATAGGATGTTTTAAATATAATGATGAAGATTTTAATAGTTGAAAGAAAACATGTACTTAAATAAATAAAAATTTAAATTTTTTATTTTTGAGATAAAAATATTTAAATATAAAACTATCAAAACTTTATTTTTAAATAACCATAATTTCTCTAAATTTTAAATTCGTTACCTTTTCTCTAATTTTTTTTAATGAATTTTGTATCTTTTTTATATAAGTATATTATTGTTCTCTTAGTAAAAGAGATCATATTTTCATCTTATCAAAATTTTAAATAAACTAAGTTTTCTTTTGTCCAAATTTAGAGTATTTCAATAAATTAAGACTATGGTTTGTGTGTGGATCTATAACTCTTGCATATGAACTTTATGGGATAAAAATGAAATTTGATTAATTTAATATGCTCAATTTGTTAATTGATATTTTTTATGACCAAGATCTAGTTTTTGTATGAATTCAAAATTTATTGGAGTATTTAAATAAGAGAGTAATTGAAGTTAATAGTGAATTTTCTAACACCTTAGAATAAATGAATTGGATTATGATGTTAACTTGATCACATTGTTTGAATTTTAGGAAGTTAATTATTGCTATTGTATTAGGAATTGTAAACATGTAATGATGTGTGGAATGTTAGGATAGGATTACTATAATTGTAATAGGTATCACCTGCTTTAAAAATGAGATTGTATAATAGAGTTTCTAAGATTTATATTTGGTATCTGAAAACTGATTTGATTTGTATTTTTATAAGTTTATTATTTGTATATTTTGCTCAAATGACAATTTATAGCTCAAGCGAAATGTGTAACAAAGGCAAGAACTCCTATTGGGAGTATTTTCGCTCAAGCGAAAAGGGCTCCTAGAGGTGAGATACTTGGATTAGCCTCATTTGTATTCAGCAAAAATATTTTGGTCAAGTGAAAAACTTTAGTGAAATGAGACTTATTTCAAGTATAATTCAGTGCAAGTGAAAATATGATCACTTAAGCGAAAATTTCCCAAAGAAAGTGATTTTTTGAAGGATTTTCGCTCAATAGAAAATTCTCTATTTTAAAAGCTTAAAAATGATGAAAATTGAAAATATAAGATCATTTCTTTGATGTATGATATGTATATGACTTGATATGTTCGAATATATGTTATGAACATTAGATAATAAGGTGAGATGAGTATTATTATATGTATAAAAAAAATATTTTTATTATAATGTAAGAAATATCATATACTATTCTTATATATGTTATATTTGTAATATATTGATGAAAGATAATATAGTAGTTTATGAGGAAGAAATATTATATTGAAATATAGGTGGTGTATTAAATTTAGAATTCTAAAAGAAATATCTAACTCTTCTAATACTGGATTCATAAAACGGAAAGTATTAAGTAGTGATAGTTGAAAAAGATCTTTATGATTTAGCTTGTAACTTGAAAAAGAATTGGATCTGACAAGTTATACAAATTTATTTTGCCAAGTAACATGTTATAATTATGTACCTATATTTGATATATTTACTTAAGAAAGATAGTGTGATATATGTAGATTTTTTAGTCTATCTCAATGCATGTGAGACTTCTAGAAATAGAGTAAGTGTTAATAACATGTGTACCAGTGTGTGAAAACATGAGATATACACTTAATTTTTTGTTTTGCATGACATAACTATGTATGAAAAAGAATATAATATGAAGTGATATGTATATAATTTGATATTTTTATCATTAACTTACTCTAATTTGTACAATGTATTTTGATTTAAACTACTATAATCATATTGTTACATAAGTAAAGGATGTTTTAGGTGGTGAGTCTCATAATTGTATTATTGAAAGAAAGAATAAGAGAAGTTTTATATTTTAGATATTTTATTATTTATAAAAGTCATATTCTTTTAAACTATTAAAATTTTTGATATAAATATTAAAAATATTTATATTTTTGTATAACTTAGTTTTTAGTTTTATATTTTGCATTTAACGATTAGAAGACCTCTCGTTAAGATTTAAATAATCCTTATTAAAAAGTGTACTTGCAAATGGCTTAAATTGATTTCATCTAAAAAAACTAAATCATAGGATGTTTTGTGCAAGATTCGTTTTTTTTTCTATGTTATAATATATACTCTTCTTTGTTAAAACTAATCCGACTTAGATATAAATATTAGAAAAAATATTAACGAATGTAATATATATTACAAATATTTTTTTTCCTTACACGTATATCATTATGTATGCAACTTTTTTCTATATCATTATATCTTTTTATTTTTTTTCATTACATTCATCATATCTTTTCTTTATTTTTTTTAGTGCATAATATTTACGTTATTACCTCTCCCAAAGATATGTATAATATATGGGACGTGAACAACATTTTTGAAAACTTGTCATAAAATTAAAAATAAAATAATAATAATATAACATTTTTATTTATTATGTTTCTCATAGATTAATTGCTTAAAATATGGTTAGAATAGTTTATATAAACATTTTTTTTAATTTTAAACAACTTTCTTCAATTTTAAATAATTTAAATATGTGATTTATAATAAAATATTAATATTTATTTCTAAATAATTCTTGTCAACAACCTCTTCTAAAAATGTTATTTTATTATATATTGATATATATATTTTATTAACCTCGTGCCTCTTTAATTTGAATATTAAAAAGAAAATGAAAAAGGTAGTAAATTGACCTATAACATGCATGCTTGTGTTTGAAAAGGGATGATGATTATATAATTAGAAGAATAACAATGATGATTAAGATAACATTGATAAAGAATAACATAAGTTGGTCCAAAAAAACAATGATGGGGAAGGTTGTGAGGGAATATATTGACTTTGATGATGGAAGCCATCAAAAGAAGGTTGATGTTGGGGAATGATGATGAGAGTGTCCATCACTTGTTCACCTCTAAAACACAAATTCATAAACTATGTACTCAAATAATCACTTTCTCAAATATTGTAATGACCAATTCACTTTATTTTAAAAATAAATTTTAAAATTTATTAGTTTTTAAATTTATTAAAATCCCTTAAATTATTATCTAAACCATTTTAAAGTTTTTCTTAAATATTAGAAACAATATTTAATTCCTTCTCTTTTCTTACCCAAATAGATTATTTAACCTGTTTAATTATATATATGAAAGTTCATTTTCGATATTTTCCCTGCATTTGTTAACCACACTCTCTAAGTGTATATGTATACTTGGATGAAAATTATTAAAAATCATATTATAATCTTTTACTAATGTTTTAAATTTGTTTATACAAATTCATGTATTTAATTATATAAAATTATTTAGTACTTGTATTTTGTTTATATATTTTCCACCTTTTTACCTGGAAGGTAAATTTTAGAAATAAAAATTTTAATAAATTTATAAGATATGTTCTATTTATCTAACAAATAATTTTATATGGTTCATATTATTATAATTTACAGAACTAAAATAACTACTGGAAAACAAGACAAATAGTGTTATAAAAATTATAAAAACTAAACATTATCTCTATATTTTTTTATAACTATATTTTTTAGGTATTAATTTTAATTTTTTTATATATTTTTAAATGTAAAAATTATAACAATTATTTTTTTTAAATTATAAAATTTTTATTTTTTATGTGATGATAAAAAAACTATTACGAAATGAATCTCCTTATATATTTTTTTGATATTAAAAAAAGAATATAAATAACTGTAATAAAAAGTAAGGTGTATCTACTAAACAGCGTAAATGTGATGACTTCAGCTATACTCACTCGTGCCTCGAAACACGCCCTTTCAGTCAATTCATCATTTTGTCTTCGGTGTTTTATTCTTTGCAAGCGTCAGACTTTCGTATCAGAAGAATCATAAATAATTGATTATTTTGATTCATAAGATTATATAAATAATTGTCAATTTAATCTTTAAAAGAATACAAATTACTTTATCTTTGAAAGTGTAAAAAAAAAAATTACGTTTTATTGTTAATTTTTGCAATACCATTTTATTATTAAAATGAAACATTAATTATCAATTTAGTATTAAATTGTAAGCAAGTTTTTTAACAGTCCAAGTACTCGAGTGTATAAAAAATAATATATTTAATTAAACTGTTTTTTTACAAAGTTTTAATTAATTAAATCAAAATTTATTTAATATTTTAATTTGTTTGTTAATTTTTTTAAAATATTTAACAAAAAATTGTTAATGTGATCTTGACAAATTACTGACATGTTGAATACATGAAAAGTGTGAAAAGTTAAATTACAATTATATTATTTTAATATCTTCACTTTTATCTACAAATTAGCAAATTTTAATTTATTAGACATAAATGTACGGAATAATGTATTTTAAGTATGACCAACCAATGGTTTGATTTCTTTCATCAGCCAGTAAACTAAGAAAATTAAAAAAATAGAGAAATTTTAAAAATTAGATAAATCTAACCATTAAACTTTTATTCCACTCTCCCACCGTCTCATTCGTCTATCAAACCATGTGCCTAAATTTTACCACAAAAAGTACCCATTGGAAGACCAGCCAAACTGAGATTCACGCACAGCACAAGATGCTTCACCACAACACAGTATGGTAGGTATTCTTGGACTTGGACCACTAAACAAAATACCAACCTATTTGCTTATTATATATATATATATATATATATATATATATATATCTACAACCATAATAATAATTCTGCACCACAACTTCCACAAAGCACAAACTGCTTCATCAACAAAATATAATAAGGAAAACTATTATTTTCATTTCAGAAAATGTTTATTATTTTCTAATAATTGCGAAAACGTCACATTCATCTTTATTTCCTATTTTCAAACAATTATATTAAATACAAACAGCTAAGAAAATTGGGGCGTTACAAAAAACTGAATTCCACTGAAGATTCTGCTAATCAGAAGTGCACAGCTTCAGGATTCGAAAGTATGAACTGCGGGGAAATAATGGAGTGTTAGCGACTAGGGAAATTCGTACATACCAATCATACATCAGTTCAATCAAAACAAGATCAACAAAGATATTCCCATCATGTTATGGTCCTAAAAATCATGCTTAAAATGATCATGTAAAGAAAGATTTTACGAGCGAGGTACTATTTTTTATTTTTTTATTTTAAAAAGACTCATTTACCATTGTGGGTAAAAAGGGTCAGAACAACTCAACTAGAATAGAAATAAGACAAAAGCTCGTACCAATCTAACCTGCATCGGCGGATAAATTGCTTCTTTGACTACAACTGCTGACCATTCGATCAAGGAATACAGTCAGATTGATTAGATTTCTGGACTAAATCAAAATACATTCGGCTGAATAATTGGTTAGTTAGAACTACTTATTTGATAAGCTCATTAAATGCTTAACTTGCTTTGATAAACATCATTATGGATCTTATTAAAATAAGCTTTTTGGGAAAAAATCTTGTTAACAAGTCATATATATAAGCCATTCTCATAAAGTTACATAAGCTTCATGTAAACTCTTCCTAATGCCCCAAAATGCTAGAGTAGCTTGGTTCCTTGCTTATTCGTTAGCAAAATTTAGTTCCTGGATGATAGATAGACTCTAAAAATGGCTCAATCCTTTAAAGGAGATTCTTAAATCGCAAATGGCAGTAATCTAGAACCATCAACTTGTAAACGGTGAAAACTTCATAAATAACGCGAAAGCAAGATGAACTTACATAGGTGTTGGAAAATTATTATCATATGTGGTACATGATAGAATAATAATAACTTGAACATCTATAAGACTTTTTATCAGTTCAAACGTCTGCGCCTTGGAGCACGAGAATCTCCACTATCGACATCAGACAATCTTGAAGTATCATTCCTCCTCCTAGAAGAGGACGTTGACAAGGATACCATGGAATCAATCTCTACAGCAGTGTCGACTTGACTCTCTGAATTTATCACAGCACCAATGCTTGAAAAGGAGTCCCTGTCATCAACTGGAGGAGGAGGTTGTTCTTGGTTCCTACCTATTGGATTGCTACGGAAATATGCCTCAACTAATCTTTCAGCAGAAGTGAGTGCTGATGAAAGAGTAGAAAGAGTTGCTCTGTGTGATTGTGTTCTTCGAAGCAAATGGGATTGCACCCTACTTCGGTTATCCCCTGCCTCGGCAGCATTTACATTATTCTGAGCCAAACCCATTACATCCTCTGGGGGTGCCACTAAATTCTGCTCTCTCCGTATGCCTCGAGCAGTTAAGAACCTACTTAGCAAGGAGGTAGTTCTATCTGCGGTTTCTCGGGTACCATCTACTTCATGTGGCTGAACAAAATCACGAGTAAGATCAATTCTGCTTCCGAGACGCCGAATCATCTCTTCCACAGGGAGTGCAAAAGCATTTCTCTGAATGGTTTGTCTCAGACTCTCAACTCTCCTTGCTTGAGGCCGGGGAGGGATCTTAAGAGCAGTATCCTCTTCACCACCTCGTACAATGTTCCCACGGCCATATATTGGGGTAACACTTTTAAGAGTCACCTCTCCCTTACAAACGGGACACTCCTTCGCATCCGAATGCAGATGCAACCACCTATAAAGGCAAGGCCAACAAAACAAATGGCCGCAACAAGTAACAACAGGATCCCTAGAGATGTCCAAACATATGTTACAATCAAAAAAGTCTCCATCAGTGCCACTACCCTTTTCAACATCATCCTTCTTCTGTGAAGCCTCGTCCTCTGCAACACCATTGACATTCTCACACGCCTTCGGCGCCTCCTCCATTCTCTCCTCCGCCGCCACACTGCCTTCCCCAGCCTGTAAGGCAGTCCCGTTTCCAGAATTGACCAAAAACTGGTTCAATTCCATGGAGATATTGTGAGCCTCAGGTGGTATATGAAAATGCCGCGCAGCTTCAGGTGGGATGTGAACATGAAGTTCAGAATGCGGTAGCGGAAGATGCCGCCATCGCCACCGATGTCGTGCCCTAAACCTCACAGCTTCGCTAATTCTCTGAAGAGGCTCCCCTATCCAATCGTCCAAGTTCACAGCTTCGTTATTTATTGGGCCAGTTTCAGGCTCTGGGCCTGGACCCAGATTCAAATCAAGATTCATTGCATCGGAGGTCTCTTCCTCCATCGCAGCTTCAATCACCAAACCAGAAAGAAGCTTCCTTTATTACAAATTTCAATTGCAGGGAGAGGAGAACAACAACAAAGGAAAAAGAAAGTGAGAATTTTTCCACCAAAAAGCTAGAGTTTAACACAAATCGAAGAAACCCAGGTAAGAGGAGGAGTACGGTGTCGAAATTAAACAATCAGAAACAGAAATCCCCAAAATTTGAGGCGAAATTGGGCGTAAACCCTAACTTCGTCCCAAACACGAAGGACACCCCAGATCCAATACAGAGGGTTGACCACAATTGTAAGAAGAACCCATGGTGAATTACTCGAATTCAACTCGACATGAAGGGAAGCTGTGTTCAAGTGTTACCGATTAGGGTTACACAGTTACGGGTTTACGAAAAGAGATAGATATATTTTTTTATTATTATATAATGAAACGAAGAAGAAAAAACAAGATTAAAGGAAGAAAATAGGGAATATGGAAGAGGGAAGAAGGAGAAAGTAGAAGAATTGAGGAGAAGATAGAAGACCTTGGAGGTAAGAGACGATAGGATTAAGGTTGAATCATTGTGCAGTCGTCGGTGCGGTGCGGTGCGTGCGGATGGATCTAGCGAGAGAGAAAAATGGAGGGGTTTAGAGGAAACAAGAATGGGAAGTGAGGAAGAAGGTAGAAGAAGAAGAACCTCACCTTCACCTCGTATGGTATGTATGTTGTTGTTGAGTTTGTGATGGTGATGAACGGTGCGATGAGGTAGAGGCACGAGTGGGTTGTCTGTGATATTCCTACGCCGCTCGCTGCACCAAAGCGCTATCAGAGCCGTTCTTGCGCTGAATCAATCACAATGACACAATTCTCTTTCTATCTCACAGCCTAATTACCATTATTATCTCATTAAAAAAGATATTTTTTTGAGACCACCTGCATGGCTTTCTCTAGATAGAATAATGTATGAACTGCATATTAAATTGGATAATTAAGGAGAAAACAAATTCAATAATCCTTAAGGACACTAGATATCTAAAATCTTATCTTTTAAGTTATTAATTATTTTAAAGTTACACATATAAGATCCACGATAATATTTTCTATAAATAATAATATTTTAAATATTTTAATATCTAAATCAATATATATATATATATATGATTAGGAAAATAAGAAAAAAATTGATAATATATTTACATATTTTAATAATAAATCAATATACATAATACTATTTTTTTTAATATTTTAATATCTAAATCAACCTATGAGATCGTGAAAATAAAATAAAAAAAGTTATATATTCTATCGTATAATAGGGAGTGAAATGTTAAAAAATTAATTTTAAAAAGTAAAATAAATAAATATATATTAAACTGAATCATTATAAAAAATTTATGTCTGATTTTTTTCTTTTAAATTATTAATTATTATAAACTTTACATATATTATAACTTTAAATTAAATCTATGAAAATATAATTAATTAGAATATATATTGTTCCAATCTTGTCTAGGAACAAGAGCGTTCAATTTTATGTGTTATAATAACAAACTTCACTTATATTATGATGACATCATTAAAATCAATTATTATATCTGAGAAATGGTCTGTTTTAGAGTTTTTGTCTATCATGATTTTGTCTTTAAAAAACACATTAGTGAGTTAAGAGATAATAGTGTATATAAACTCCTAAGCGACGGACTCATGAGCGCACTGAAAAATAATCCCTCCATCGAGGATTAAGGGGTATGAGTGGAGAGAGACTATCAGCCCCATGACGGGCATCAATGTTCCGTCTAGGAATAAAAGTGTCTCAACCTTATGTCTATTATGCATAATTTTGTCCTAAAAATATGTATTTGTGGGTTAAGAGAGGAATGTGTATATAAACTATCTTTAGTTTGAAAAGTAATATGAGACTCATAAGCATACACAAAGATAGTCGTGAGTCGAAGATTAAAGGGTATAAGTGGAGAGAGGCTTGACTCTCGACCCCACAGTAGACACTAATGTTCCGTCTAAGAATAAAAGTGTCTCAATCTTATATCTGCTATGCATGCTTTTGTCCTTAAACTATCTTTAGTCTCGACTCTCTTAAGTAATATAATACTCATAAGTGTACAGGAGCATGATTTTGAGGTGTATACCCGACTCATAAACATACAGGAAGTTTAGGAACAAAAGTGTCACAATCTTATATATGTTATGCACGATTTTGTCCTTAAAATGCATCTTGGTGGGTTAAGAAATGAGAGTGTATATAAATTATCTTTAATCTTGTCTCTTAAGCGATATGAGACTTATGAGTGTATCGAAAATAGTCCCCCAGTCGAGGATTAAGGGGTATGAATGGAGATAGACTCGAGTCTTGGTCTCACAATAGCTGCCAATATTCCACTTAGGAACAAATGTGTCTTGAGTCCCAAAAGCCAAAAATAGTTTATATACACCTTCTTCTCTTAACTCACGGAGATTTCTTTTAAAGACAAAACCGTGGTGGACGAAAGTTCAAAATGAACAATACCTCAAATATGGAAATTGACCATAATAATATTATCATTTATCATAACATACATGAGGTGGTGACATTCTCATATTAGATATAATAATTTAATATATAAATGGAAAGAGAAAATATCTATTCATTTTAATAATAAGATTTAGAGATTTATTATTTATATCTTTAATAATTTAAAATAATATTTATCTTAATTATTAGATTAAAATGATGAAAATGAAAAATAAATCGTTAACTCTTATTTAAAGTAAATAAATTTTTTATAAAATTAATTTATGATATATATATATATATATATATATATATTAATAAAATAATATTATTATTTTTATTTAAAAATAAATATATTTTTATAAAATAAACTAACCGATGGACTGATAAGTCCATTTAAACTATGAAGCAAAATAATCGACTCAAATTTGTTATAATTCAATTTAAATTATAATTTTTTTCAGCTATTAGATAAAAAAAACATTTTATAGATTTAGTGGATGAAATAGTTATAAATAATAATAGATATTGATCAATAATTTTAGGACCAAAATAACATATAATAAATAAATAAATGATAAAATTGAAAAAATGTAGTCGTTTTTCTTTTAATAAATTTAACGATTTATTTTATTATTTATGAAAAAAATAAATTAATGGACTAATATATATATATATATATATATATATATATATATATATATATATATATATATATATATATCTGTGTGTGTGTGTAATTTTGTTTAGGTTAATGCGTGAGGATGCCAATAAGAATGAATTAGAGAAGTGTAGAGTTTTGTGATTGACTTTGACTTTATTAGTGTTACATAGTCAGAATTATATTTGGTCAACGTGGGAAAATTAGATTTGTGGGAAAATGATTAAGTAATTTTTTCTGATGTTGTTTTTCAACCTGACTTAATTCAATTCAATAATATTTATAAGAAAACATAAATAGTATAAATAATATTCATATGATAAACTATAAAATGAATTATATTTTTTATATGATAAAGTTATTAGATAAAGAATAAGTTTTTGTGTAATCGATCTTTTTATTCACTCGAACCTCACCGTATCAGTTGAACCGTTGGGGGCATTCCACGTTTCTCTACTTTCAACCACAGAATAGATACCACTAGTTGTAATTTCCAAATAGCTACCATCTACCTATTTAATACTTTCTAAAGCTGACTTGTGATGTGACTATGAAAAATAAACTAAAGTACACGCTATGAGTTGAATTTTTATAACGATAAATTTTAATAATTTATAAGTAACAAATATTTATAAATTAAAATTTTAATATTTTAACTTAATTATCTTTATGTTAGGGGTACTTTTGGTGTGGTTTATTCAGTTTTGTACGAAAAAATTATTCGAATCAATCATAAAATTTTAATGTGATTTTATTTAATTTGGTTTTATAATATATTTTTTTTCACATTTAATAATAATAATAATATATGTTTTAAATTATAAAAAACTAAAATTAAATGTTAAATAAAATTACATATTCCTTATCAAATAAATTAATAATTAACATTTTAAATTATAAGAAATAATCAATTAATAGTTTAAATAAATGAATATTTATTGAATATTAAGATTCATTTAATACAAATAATATTGTGTTATTGGATATGTTATTGGATTGTTGCTAGATTTTCTTTAGGATAAAATAAATGCGACATAGTTATCCAACTCACAATTATGAATAACTAAAATTTTAGATGCTTGTACTTTATTATTTCATAAGTTATATGTTATGTGACGTTTTCTATTTTAATTGGTTTACTCATATATATATATATATATATATATATATATATATATATATATATATATATATATATAAATTGTGATTCGATTTAATTTGAGTTCGTTTTTTATTAGCAAAGCAAAATTTAAACCAATCAATTTAAAAAATTTATTCCAAACAATTCAAAAAAAAATCGAGTTTGATCCATTTTCAAATTTTTTTATACATTTTTTATTTTTTTAATTGATTCGGTTTTGAACACCCATGTCTTCTTCTATAAATAACTCATATGCCATTTAATAGAATCTTTATATTTTAATCATCTTCAGAAATATCCAATAAGAAATACCAATGCATATTTATATCTTAAAAATTGATTAGAAAAACTTATTATAACATCACTTTACGTAAGGTAACAAACATAGTCCAACATGCAAATAGCGATTTCGAAGTCCTACCATATCATGACATGATCACACAAACACAAAGCTATATTTTTTCATAGTTTTTAAGTATATATATATTTATATGTTGATGGTAAGTAATTGAGTTACTTTGTCAAGAACAACTTGTGCATCACGGGATTCTTTCTTTTTTAGCTTCCATTGACTTTCTTACAATCGATTCTGATTTCTCCCTGGCTTCCAGTTAAGGGGCTAATGTTACCCATATTAATCATGGACTGAGCAAAGGCTTCGAAGAACGCGGTTTGGTTGCTGGCGAAGTTGTTGACAATGGCTATTGTGGCGGAGCCATTAGTTGAAAAGAGTTCTTGGTCTGTTTGAAGAAGACCCTGGTTTTTCAGAAGATTTTGGAAGTAGTTGTTGTCGAAGGTGTCTGGGGATGAAGGGTCAAGGTTGTTCAGAGTGTTCCCGCTTCCATTTTGTGGACAATTTTGCTGCAGGGTTGCTAAATAGTTTGAGTTCAACGTGGGATCTGGGCTACCCGTGCCACTGAAGTTGAACAGCCTCTGGTTAAAAAATCTGCATTGTGCACGACCAAAAGTATGTGCACCTTTGAAATCAAACGTGGTTAAATAAGAAGCATATGGCGTTATTAAATAAAGCCTGAAATTTTTTTTCATATCATCATAACTGAAAAAAAATAAAGAAAAATACATGTCATTGAAGGGAGATATGAAAAAACATACATCTTAAATGCACACAGTAAGACTAAACGGGAACAGTAACTATGATGATTACCAGATAATGCAACGAGATCAGTTATGTTTAGGCCAACGGCAGAAAATTTTGCTGTGACATTGGCCAAGCTTTCAGTTGGAGTGGGAATGGAAGTGTTAGCACCAGATGGGTTTGCAATCAAACTGTCCCTTCTGCCTAGTAGTACGGTCCATGAAGGTCCTCCTCCCTGCAAATATATGCAGTTTTTTGGTTTTTTTAATTGTGTGGTTCATGTAGTCAAACTTGTGCCAGAAGTGTTTGTTGTTCTTGAAATAAACACATTTATTACAAGAGATTTGATAAGCTACGGAGGAACAAGTAATTACCAAAGACACAGAAGCTTCAGCAGCAAGGGCAAGAATATCAGCACAAGATACAACACCAGGGCATGAATTTTCAACAGATGTCTTTATGTTGTCGACTACATTAAAGCCACGAGCGGAATTATTGTTGGGGCCTGCATTTTTCTCGCTCAGTGTTATGTTCCCACCTTGGTCTAACAAAAGGGATCCATCACATCCCTGAAACACAAAAACAATATTTATTTGATATTTGGCAGTGCATGAGACATATAAAACTGAATTATGCCTCTTCAAAACTTATGTGGAGGTTTAAATAGATCGTGTACATTAACAAAGCAATCATGAAAGTGAAGACGAGTCAGGCTCGCAGCAATACGAGTATCAGATTGCAGAGCCTGCTGAATAATACTGCGCACAATGGAAGACACGTTAGGGCATGTGCTGGAGTAGAAGGATGAATTCAGTTGAGCATTTGATGGATGAAGAAAGATTGTCAGCACCAAGAAAATGGTGGTGGGAAGGGAATGGGTAAAAGAGAACATATTTGACTTCTTGTATATTGTTTCCTTTTGGTTTTAGCGAATGATGCATGGAATCTAAGTGGCATATATATATAAGAAAATACATTTTTGAATAATTTAAAATTTGCTTGGAGGTAAAGTTCTTCACTGTTACATTACTTACAAGCATAAGCTAGCTAAAAGGCATAAAAAATAGGTTTTGTAGTAATCATTAGGTACACACAACGGACGTGGAAAGGAAAATTCAAACCATAATGAGTACCACTTAACCACCTTGTGCTACTTGAGTCTTAAAATATTTGGCACCATATAAATTCTACCTTACATGCCTAAGTATTTAAGTTAAATGTCATAAAACTTGCACATGAACGTGTATCAAAATAAAGTATATGAACAAAGAAAGCTCCAACGAAATAGCTAGAAATGAAGTTGAAGAATAAATATTGAGAATGTTTTTTTCCTCTAGCTTATCGTATTCTAATTTATCATAAATTTATTTTTAAAAGATAATTTTTGTGGACAATGGTAAATTTTGACCAAGATTTTAAATTTCAAAATTTTGAGAGAATTACATTCCTCTTACCTTTTAATAAACCTAGTTACTATTAATGAATTATTAAAGAAGAATATATTAAACGACACAAGACTTAAAAAAATAATTTTATATACTTTACAAATCAAAATCAATGGAATTCGGTTAAATATATTTTTAAAACAAAAGTATAATAAACTAAATCTAAAAATAGATAATATTTTAAATGTAATTAATTTTAATGATATTATACCATGGTAGATTTAAAATCAAATAACTATTATTTCTAAATGAAAGAGAAAGTATTTAAAGATTTGAAAATGAAAAAAAAACATATAAGATTCTAGGAGCCTATTTCTTAGGGTAGGAAAATAATTAACGACCTAAACGTTTGACAGATTGTTTACGAGTCATTCTTTGTAGGTACTATGTCTAAGTCAATAGTAGGAAAACAAAACATTCAGGTACAACATCAAGTCACTAATAATGTGTAATCGACACAAGCATGACATTTACGTGGCCATCGTCGATTTAAGTTTTCCACTTCTAGATGCTTTTAAAATTGCATGTTTTGGAAAAATGACCATCATGAAGGAGAAGTAATATTGAGTAAGTAAAATGACAGGGACAATTTAGTGAGAAATAGAAAAATCACAACAGTGGTTCAAATTACTTAAAAAATGTCATAATGTATATATTTAATTCATATAAAATTTAATAATTCAGATTTATTTATTTTACTCTCAAATGATAAATATGGTAAACACAGATAATTGCCATTTTGCAGGTATATTATAACAATTTCTATATATATATATATATATATATATATATATATATATATATATATATATATATATATATATATAATGTGTGTGTAAAACACATCATGTGCATGGTCATTATCAGCAAGTATTTCTATGTTTTCAAAATAGTAAACAAACTTTATTTTTTTTGTCTCTTGTCATTAGTTTTTTTTCTAATAATATTATAATTACTTTTTTTTATTAGCCTGAAAATAGTAATAACATGGTAATGTATTAGTATAATCTATTTAGTGATATCAAGCAGTGAGAACACAAACTTTTTTTTCCTTTAGATACTAATTAATATTTATGTCACTAATATATTTAATCATAAAACATACAAACAAAATTGAGTTCGAAGTTGCATAAGATTTTAAGTACAAACTTTATAAATAAAAAGTAATTAAAAAAAACTACTAAAGTAATCAATCGAATTATAGCTGCAAAAAAAAAAAACAGATAAAAAAAGTTAGGTGTTGATATATTAGTGTTAAAAAAATAATAGTATTAAATAAGAGTGGAGATAAAGATTGAAGGAATTTTATATGTGACACTAAGACTTGGATTGGAATCACGTGATAAATCTGGTTAATTTGGTTTGGAAGATTGCGTGTGATTCACTGCAATCACATTTGATCAATTCCAAGACAATTAGCGAGTGAAGTTGACCGGAAAAATAATTAAATAAAAAACACAGAATAATGTACCATCCACTTACTCAATTGTAATTGCATGTTTATGTGTGTATTCATAAAAAAGTTATTATTTAAATAAAGAATCTTTTATAATCTATATAAAAGTCCATACTATAAAAATATAATAGTTTTTCTTTTATCTAATTATAATTTTCAATCTCATTTTCTGTTTCTACAAATGAACTAATATGATTTTAAAGTATAAAAAAATTGATATCACATTAATATAGTTATATGATGGTATGATATATATAATATTTTTAATATATTAATATAGTTGATAGAAGGAATTACATGGAGTATTTTAAAAAAAATTAATTATAAAATAATATGACAAAATAAAATGTTTACCCAAAAATATAAGATAAACTTAGGGTGAATCTCTTTCAAGAATTTTTATTTTTGATGGGATTTTTTTTTTAAATATTTACAGAGTTTTTATATAATTTTTTATTAACATATTTATTTATGAATAATAAATTATTTTATAATTTAATATTTATAAGAATTTTCTTTACAAAATGTTATGTGGAAAATTTGTAGGTGAATTTTTTATATAAATGTAATTTTGCATCTAATTTTTTTTATCAAAATTTGTGAGTAATTTCTTACTAATTTTAAGTTTATAAGTAATTTTATGTTAATTTTAAGTTTATAAGTAATTTTATGTTAATTTTAATTTAACATCTAATTTTTTTATTAATTTTAAATAGACAATTGTTTTATTAGTTTTTTTTTATAATTAATTTTTTATAGAATAATTTTTTTTACAATTCATATGAAAATTTATATAAATTAAAATACATATATATATATATATATATATATATATGAAATTAAATATTATTTTATTTAACTACACAGATAAATAACCACAAAAAAAATACTTGTTTATTCAATAAAAAATAAAGAAAATTATTTAATTTTATATCATGATTATCGTAAATTTAAAAATAAAATATGAATAAACAAAATATATGTAATGTAATAATTTGATAAGTTGTAAACATTTTATTTTATTATAGATGGACCATGTATTCCTAGATTTCTCTCTCAAACATACTTTCAAACTGGTTAAATGTAAGAGTGAAAAACAAGAAATTTAAGATGTCACTACAAGAATAAAAGATTTAAGAGAGCAATGTAAGAGTAAAGGATTTAAATTTTGTAATAACAAATTTAAAGTTATATAAATGATTTTTTTAAAATAGATTACAATACAAAATAGTTTTTATTATATGGTCATTTAATCATATATGATCATCATAATTATAAGTATTACTTTTATAATAATTATTTAAAATAAACAAACTTAACATGATCATATTATATGCAATGACGATATAATGATGTTTTATATTGTTGTGACATTTTGTTTTTATAATAACTTTCTCTTGATTTATATATTATCATGTATGTTAACTTTATTAATTTTATAGTAATTACATTAAAAACTGTATTAACACTGATAAATGAAAACAGAGTGTAAAATAATTTTACATTATTGATGCATGACAATTAAACTACATTATTATTAGATAACTTATTTCAGGTTTAACTATATTTGTTATTTTTTGTTTGTTAATCTTGCTTATATTATATATGATCAATAGTTAAAGATAAAAGAAAAATAAATGACTTTAAATTGCACAAAAGAATGATTAAATTCAAATTATTTATATAAAGACATTGTGTCTGTTTAAAAAATGAATTTAAAATCAAGACAATTTAAAAATCTTAAAATCTAATTTATTTAAAAATGTATTTTTAATTTGATATAGAAATTAATATTAAAATTAAATAAAATAATTAATTAAAACTAAAAATGAATTTTAGTAGTCTTTAAAACAAATAAAATATGTAGACAAAATTAATTAGATACTTAGAGAAACTATATGATTTTACAATGTTAAAATATATACAATAAATCATAAAAAATAGTTTGCACAATTAGTTTATGTTTGCCAAAACTTATTTTCATAATTTCATTTTTTTAAAAAATATTTATAAAATAAGTGGAGTTTTTGGGACATAAGTTAAAATTTAGTTAAAGTTTTTTTAAAAGAAAATAAGTTGTTTTTATGAATTTGAAGATGTGTAGTTCACGATTTTTTATGAATAGTGTTTTATTCTTTTAATTTTCTATACATATGTCTTATGTCAAAGTTTGTATTTTTCATTCAAATAAAACTTATTTTAAACATTTTTCTAAAACTCAAAATTATAATTAATTAAACAATAGCATATTATTAAAATAATCTAATTTACACTATTATCTCCAACAGTATGTTAATTTTAATTCGATATGTCAAATAATTAAAATTATTGTCCAAGACATCAAAATTAATCATATCTATATCAACTAAATATATTTTTAATATTTTGTTTTGATACATATTTTGTTATGATTTTACCTTTAAAATTATATATATTTTTATTATATAACATCTTAAAGGTATTCTAGATAACAATAAATAAAATTTTAACATAATGAACTCTTTATTAATAAAATAATTTTATCAATTCCATTAATAAATTTTATAATCATATTGTATTCAACACTTTATTATATATTTATGAAGTTTACTTTTTGTTTTTTTAATTTGAATTGAAATACAAGTTTGGCGACAGAAAAAGATACCCACTACCGGTGGACTTAAGTCCTGAACCAACCTCTGAATTGGGCCATTTTTAGATTTAGACCAAGCTTTAGGCCCAAAAGCTTATCTCTAATATTGGGCCCAAAATCTGCATGGCCTTGAACTGTTTAAGTTGATTTGGACCTCCCAATTTAATTATTACTCCACCACCCATTCTTTTATTTATGAAAAATATCATTTTTTTTTATAAAAATAACAAATCTACTATTTTTTTTATTCACCTTCTTCATTATTCCAAAATTTTTGCATCTCCATTTCTATCATTCTTTACTCCTTTCATCATGTACATTATTTTCTTTCCTAATTTTTCTTCTCCATAAAAAAAAAATTAATATGAATGAGATGTTTTATGTTGGGAAATATTGTTCGTCAATATTGTGTGTATTTTCTTTATATATATATAACTTTATTTTCTTATTTTTCAATTTCAAAAACATTATTTTAATCTACAATATGAAGCAATAATAACATTAAGAGTATTTTAATCTTAAGCCATCTAAGCTTAAATTTAATAACATTTTGGTATGGGAAAATACATTGAATAATTTTGTTACGTACAATGACCAAAAACTTTAACTAAACTAAAAACCAAAAATTTTATCTTTTTTTGGGAAAACCAATTAAATACGACTACAAGACGCTGTTTTATAATTTGATTCTGTTTTGAAAAATCAATAAAAAAATCATAGTCTTGCCACACATGTATTCTCGTCAAATTATGTCATCAACCACAGTTGACTTTTCAAGGTTTTGAACTTGATTAGATAGTCTAGTTTAAAATCTGAATCACATTGCGAAGAATACACTTTAAAATATATTTTTTTAAATACACCTCTTTATTATTTATCAGTAATAAAAAGTTATTAAAGAAAAACAATTTGATGAATCACATTTATATATCTAATGAATATCACCTAGTTCAATAGATTTTAATTAATAATAAAAATTTATCTAAAAACATATGTTAAAATGTGTCTTTGGTAACATTTCTCATCTCTAAGAAATTTAAGCAATGGTTGATCATAAAGAAGTGAAAAAAATCTATATTTGTTATTTTTTATCCTTCTACTGTTATACTATAAAATATATTTGTATAAATTAAATTTGAAATTTATTTTTGTTCCAAATATGAAACATATTGCTCTCCACATTGTATGTGAACGTTTGATTAATGAACTTGAGTTTGCTTAAATGATCCCGAAAAGAATATATATTATAAAATTAGGAAAAAATCTTTAAAATAACAATTTTATGGCTAATTTGTTTTTATTCAACTTTCTAATACAATAATAAAAAAAAAGGAACAATTTTTGAAAAAAAATCTAAACCAGAAGATCTTGTGAGTGTTGATAGTCCTCACGATATATTTGGAAGAGTGCTGCGATACAAAAAAAGGTTATAAATCTGATCTTAGCATCACTTTCTAAGCAGCATATTGAAGTCAAATAGACCAGAACATATTCATCATTTTCACATGAACAAGGAAGAAGAAGAGATAGAAAAAAAAAAGAAGAAGACAAAAGTGAAAGTGTCGAGGGAGAGAACATGACATGAACAAAGGTGGAGAAGGTTAATGTTACGGTTAAGGAGGGTCGAGGTTGTGGGCCCCACCGTCTCTCATCTTAAAAGTATAAACGATAACGCCACCACCCACTCCCTTCTTCTCTTATCATTTTTTTTTTTCTTTTCAAAATAAAAAATAAATTAGTATAATTTTGTAATGAAATGCTTTCTTCCACTCTCATTTCCTCGTCGTACTCTGTCCCTTTCTCTTTCTCTCTCTTCCACGGGCTACCGTCCCGCCCGGTGCCACTCTCGCACGTGCCCCCTCCTCCCAAAACTCCGTCGCACGTGCCGTCCCTCACCCATACAACTCCCTTTCTGTGGTGCAACAAATAAAAGTTAGAGAGAGAATAATAAGTCATGGAAGCAATATATATGGAGATAGATAGAGATGGATAGAGAGAGAGAGAGAGAGTGTAGGTATGCGTTTGTCTGTGAAGGGTGAGAAATAGAAAAGAGAGAGAGAGAGAAAGAGTTGATAAAAGCATAATTTTTTTTTTCTTGGTCTTTGAAGGGGCATGTAGATGTAGTAGCCATAGATTGGTTTATGTATACCCTTTCTTCTCTATCTCTCTTGCTACCTTGTTTTTGTTTGAAATCTGGAACCTCAAAATCGGTTTTGGGTGAGTGAATCTCGTGGTGGTTTTTTTTTTTTGGGTCTGTTTTGCACCGATGAGGATCCGGAAAAGGCCGGTGCTTTTCCCGTCTTCGGTCTCGCCGTTGCCTCTGTCAGATCCCCACCTGATCAGCCGGTCGCCGGTGGTGGTGCAACTAAGCGACGCTGCTTCCACCGCAGGGAAACATTCTTCTCCTTCTTCTGCAGTGCTCCCTCGCCATGCTGCTTCGTGGAGCTCGGATCGTTGGCAGCCATCTGATCAGCCTCTCCCTTCGATCGGGAAGCCTAACAACGGCTGGGATGATCCCTCCGGCATCGGTGAAAGTGGGGCACACAGACAGCACAACAAGCAAGACCCTTTGGTAAGTAAAAACACACACAAACACTAATTGTTTAATTTCTATTTCCCTTTTTTTAAATTTTGTTTCACTATTTCCGTTTTGTTTTTTCGAAATTTCATGATGTGTGCTTTTACAAGTGCACTTTTGTCCAATCTCTCGCAAGTGGTTTCCCGTTGGTCTCAAATTCGTTATCTATTCATTTTTTAAAATTAATAAATTTGTTTTTCGCATACCCAGAAAGGGGCATGCTTGGGACAAGAACAAGATCCTATGTATATTTTGGTGTGGTTGGTTTTGCAGGACGAGGTTGTTAGAAGGGAAGAGAGTGGAGAAGACTCCGGAGAGAAGGGTAATCATACCAGGTAAGAACGAAAAAGAGAAATCGTTTGTTTTTTCCCCTCTCTTTGTTCTTTCATCAAGTCTCGTAGTAAAAAAGGTGAAAAACACTGAGACCCATATCTTGATTTTAAGTTTTTCACCAGTATAGAAAAAGAAACTATTATTATTATTATTTATAAAAAATGTATACATCAGTGGAAAATACTGTTGAAGTTGTTTTAAATAAGAGGTTTGTGTAGCCACCATATATACTCTCCCACATATCTAACCAAAGTCCTTGGTTCTTTTCTCAAAATTGGACAACTACCATTTGCACTAGAGGTGCACAAGTAGCCACCACCTAAATGCTGGTCCCCAACTACACTGTGTTTTCTTCTTTCCAAGTATTACACTATTATTTTCACTTCATCTCTCACCCTTGCCCCGTAAATTTTATGTCTTCACGTACATGTATGTCCATATTATGGTTGTGGGTCTTTCTGGGTCTGGTTTGTTTGTAGGAAAGGACGCAACTTTGGTTTGGAAACACTAGCTGGGGTGTTGCCACCGCTAAGCCCTTCTTCTGTTCAAGGTAAATGGCTTAGATTAAATGCATGCGTAACCGTGTATTGCTAGCTGGTGTTGATTGTGTTAGTGTTTCATGCGTTGCAGATGGAAGATGGTACGAGGGAGAGAAAACTATTCCGCTGAAGAAAAGGAGAGGGGCATTCGAGGAGAATAATATTGCTGCTCCTGATAGCAAGAAGATGAAGGCCAAGATGAAAACAAAGATGAACAAAAAGTGTTCCTCGCGCAACGAGGATAGCATGGAAGAGGAATATGAAGAAGAAGAGAAGGGAGAAGAAACAAAACTGGATGTAAACGTGAATGTGATTGTGAGTAAGAAGAGAGCAAGGGGTAGTGCACTCATGGAAGGTTCTAGGTGCAGTCGTGTGAATGGGAGGGGATGGAGGTGTTGTCAGCAAACGCTGGTTGGTTACTCGCTGTGTGAGCATCACTTGGGGAAGGGAAGACTCAGAAGCATGACTAGTGTTAGAAGCCGTTCCATTGCATCCACTGCACCAAAGAAGGTGCACATTCACCACCCTTCTTCTTCTTCTTCTCTTGAGAAGCAAAATATGAGTGTTGGTGATCCTTTGGGAGAGGAAGAGAAGAAGCCAGAGATAATCACTAAGAAGAGGATGAAGCTTGGCGTAGTGAAAGCGCGTTCCATAAGCAGCTTGCTAGGACAAACAAACACCCACATTGCTGCTGTAGCTCATGAGAATAGCAAGTAAGAATAATAAATACAAGTGCAGAAAACGGTTATTATTTCATGTACTTGAGAGACAAATTTAACACTAGAGTTTGTTCTCACTGCATCTTGTTCAACTTCAACTTGGTGGTGCTTTATTTTATTTCATGATTATGCCATGTTTTCGTTACGGTGTGAGCCATTATTTTTGAACTACTGTACTGGAATGAAATGTTATCCAATGGGTATTTTGGTCTAGCAGTGGACTCGATCATAATAACTGTGTGTCCTTTGACCAAGAAAACAACTTTTGGACTATGACAAAGAAAATAGCGTTTTTAATACCAAATTATTCTTTAACTGAAAAATTTGTTATCAGGAGAAAGGAAATTAAGAGATAATATATTAAGATGTTGTTTAAGATTATTGTTAATGGTGGTGATATATATCACCCTTGCATGCATGGTGTCATAAATTGCACTCTCTAGTTACATAACTGCGCAGCGCCAGTCCTGGATTTCGATATTAGTCACCAGGTGCCAGGACTTAGACCCTAATTGGAGGAGGTCTAAACAAATATTTTGATATTTTAAGAAAAAAAAAAGTTATTCATATACTTTGACCTCATTAATGATCCTTTTAACTAACTAAATTCTAATTTTTTTAAAAATAATAAATTCTTCAAAAATAAGAAAGTATTATTCACTCTTTTTAAAATAACATTAAAAGTAATTTTTTTTACCGTTAAACAATAAAGTGCCTTTTATTTTCTCAAATATTTAAAGAAATTTTTATTGATCATAATGTTATGATTAATAATTTTGCTTCTAGAAATATTGAAAGAGACAACAGTTTTAAATTACAAAAAAGTGACATAGGATTAATGAACAGAAAAAAGACAACACATCTTTATTAAAATTTGTTATTTACTAGTGGTAAATAAGACATAATTTCTTTGAATGAGAATGTGTATTTTTTTAAAAAATTTATTTATATTTTAAATATTTATATATAACGTTACATTGCGCGGGTCATAAAATGTTAGGACTGGTTCAAAAAGAACGCGGTTTGATGGTTGTTTTCTCAAATCTATTCAAAGTAGTTTTAACTTAGATATAGATCATGAACTTGCAAAGCTAAACCAAGCATAAAATAACTCAGAGAATTTACCTAGATAGATATTAAGTAAGTCAAATTGTTTGTATTTATTATTGTGCTTCAATGGTGTAATGTAAATACTCTAATCACATATTCATTTGAAATATCTATTCTTGAATATATAATACACTATTATGGGAAATCATTTGCGGCAGAGGTTGATATAATCGCAGGCGAACAGATTAATGCATGTATGTGATTGTATATTCACCGTTACATGATTGAAAACAGATAGGATGATTTTGTCCATAAAGAACAGAAGTTTGAGAAACGTGTATAAATCGGTTGGAAACAATTCTGCGAAGAGTTTAATTATTTACAGTATTCTCAATGAATCTGGCAAGTCTTTTTGTTTCTGTACCTTCTGATATTATAATTTGTCTTCACTGACCATGAGAAGCATTTTATTTTGGGTTTTGAGAGCTACATGGGAAACAACAGCTTTTGATTCAGATGGATGGACCCTCAGCTCTCTTTTTCTTCAATGATATGACCTACATATGGCAGGTCAAGTACCCCAAAATTATTTACTTTAAGATTATAAAAGGGAACTCATTGCAGACAAAAAAACTAACAACCCAACCCTTTCTCAAATCATGTTTGGTTTATCGTTTGGAACCTTAGAATTGTCTTTTGAACATAAAAAAAAAAAAAAAAAAAAATTGTTTGGATATAAAAAAAATGGATCAATGTTCAACTTATTTTGACTGTCAAACCAGAATCATTCACTAACATACCGGATTATGTTAAAACTAAAATACAGAGGCAAATATAATATTGGAGTCAATGGAAAAGAACACAATACATTCTATCATGATGGTTATATTCATCTTTCTTATCGGACTATATGTTATAGAATTTATATTTATAGTTATATTTGTCTGATATGATTTCGGGCAATTCTACACAATGGTTTGATGTTGTTTTGTCCAGTTGCGTGGAAAACTAAAAATGTAGGATTTGTCCCATAAAACAATATATTACCCTTCATTTTGTAGATTTATTCTACAGATGAAAACAATAGACTCTAGAATATAATGTACAAGGAATGATCTGGTCTATAAAGGTAAAGTTTTCCTTGCCTTACGCTATTACTGAAAAGCATGAGAATGTAGACCCCATGATACGCATAGAGAATGTCCTTTAATAAATAACCCTCTACAAAGTCTTACGTAACTATACTGAGGATAAATTAGTTCCGTTTGTACTTTTTATTACGAATTATCAGTGTTATGATTCTTTTACTGTAAAAAAAAATAGAGCTCAATGGTTTGACATGAGTCATTCCTGCATAATAACTTTTTCTGTGGTCAATGCCTTTTATGGAATAATTGTAGTAGTATGGTAGTGTCCACTTTGATTAATATTATAATATAATGTATTCTCATATTTTCGACAAAGCATAATACATCATGTTTGGAGAAAAGTCTATGATTTAGCATACTGAAAAATTTGCTATCTTTTTGAGTGGCCATAGGTTATAGTATATGTACTCATGTATTCCTTTGACTTGTTGCACCAAGGTATAGATAGGGCTAAAAAGGTGTGTATATGTATATTTGGTTTGCTTTGGTTTTGTTCATGACCAATATTATGCTGTCCTTATTTTGGTTTCATTTATAAGAAACTAATCTTAAGCTGTTCCATTAAGAACCTCCTATTCTGTGGATTGCTTTTTGTGGGTTATCTGTGTTTTGGGAGAAAGAGAAGCATTACATGTTGTTCACTTCTCTTGCTAAAGGAAGCTGCCCCATATATATATGTATATTGCATGGAAAAACTTTGTAACTAAGAAGAAGCTTAGAGGGCAAGGAATGGTTTTAGTCATGAACTATTTCTCTATGTATCTTTAATTTGAGATTATCAATAGCTACGAACATGAGGGTAAGAATGAAATGGAAAACAAATGTCTGCTAAAAGCAAGAAGTATAAGAACAGATACAGACATGAGAGTGATCAACAAAGATTGTATGTATAGTGTGTGTGTTTTGATGTGTTGCATCGCATTGGATGCACGTCTTTAAAGGCTAGTGTAGGATACTCCTTACTTGGATGATAAATAGCATGATATTTGATATTTCTTTTGACTAAAATGACTTGCACTGTGCTTTTCAATTACTCTTTTTCACTCTATCTGACATTTTCTATTTCTAGTTCTTATTAACACACATTAAGTCTATCTGACTTTTTTCTTTTCTTTTTACAGTTTTTACTTAAAGTTAAAATTTTTAATTAATTAAAATAAAGATATTATTTGAGTTACTTAAAGTAGAGAGATATTAACAAAACTGATAATATTTAATTAATTTTGTAAAAGGATGAGAGTATATTCTTTGCAGAAAGCATAAGGTAAAACTGGCAGTGAATTGTTTTATGTGAGAAAAGTACAAATAACACTATTGGTTTTCATTTCTGTGCCTTAGCCATTAAATATGACAGAGAGATTCTTTTGGATGGAGACCGTTGAGATAGAGACCCTATACCAGCACTTCTCCACAAACCACAAGACTCATGCCCTCCACCCAATTGCGCTTGAAGTCTTAGCTAGAACAAATTAATACTGAAATCATATGAAGAAAACTAGAGAACAAGCAATTAATGTTAAATTTATATACAAGGTTCTGTTTTGGTTGCTGGTGTCAAAGTTCCTAAACAAGTCAATTAAGTGATGCTCCTCAAACAGCCTCAAAAGTCCTCAAACTTCTGGACTTAAAACACATGCATTGAAATAAAATTGGAGACAGAGTATGAATAAGGTTGGAACCATTAAAAGTGTATTATGTAACACATAATGAACTAAAGGGTCGAAAAAGCAACACATTACTGCTACATACAGAGGGGGAAATATGGAAAGAGAAAAAGGGTTACCATTGAGTGTGTATGCAATATTGTTGAATGAAAAAGAAAGAAAGGAGAAACATAGGATGACATTATAAGAAATTTGTAGACATCCAATTTGTTAAAAATGTAGGGGTTGTTTGGATCATGTATATTGCGTGTTGCTTTAGGTCTTAAATTATGGCATTGATGGATGATGAAAATTCACATGCATTAACATGTTTGTTATTGGTGGAAAGAGTTAAAAGGTAAGCCCATCTTTTTGGGTATATGGATGCCACTTGTCAGTAGAGAAAGGGGCAAATATGGCTTATGCTTGATGAGAAGAGAGGGCCCCCAAACAGCAAAGCAAGTCTTGGCCATAGGCAATAGCATCCTTTCAATTACCCCACCTGGATAATGTATTCAATGGCATGTGGCTACATGTCCCACCAAACCAAACAAACAAACTACACACACCCAACCAAAATTAATTAACCACATAATTATTTTTTAGTCTTGTCTAAAACACATTCTTCTAATTAGTGAAAGATAAAACTATCTGAAAAATCAAAAGTTTATTTTTTTTAGTAGAGGTTCTTTTGCAACATTTTATTTCAGTTGCTTGTACATAACACCTCACAAAGGATTTTTCATGCTCAAACATTATGTAATTCCATTTAAGGAAAAAAAAAAGGCCACTACAAGTATATACAAACAAGTACTTTATCTGTCTCCTATTATTTTATTTATTTTCAAGTAATTTATATAAATTTTTAAAATATTAAATACACAAATTATATTAATAGAAGGATTGATTTTAACAAAAATATTTTTATCTAAAAGTTAAAATATAAACCTGTCATATGAGACTTTTTTTCATAAATAATACTTGTTTTTAAAAATATTTTCCAAAATAGCACCTCTGCAACTTTATTTACACAACTAGCACTATTTACTTGTTAACGTAATAAAATAATATTATTTCGTGCAACTGTTTACTGTTCACGTATTAAAATAATATTATTTCGCGCAATGAACTATCGCTCAAGCAAAGAAATCCTTCGCTTGAGCGAGGAAATCCGTAAGAACGCAGTTATCTCCGGTCAACTCTCGCTCAAGCGACAGATATTTCGCTTGAGCGAGAAGTGATTAAAATATGTGGTGACCCAAGTTGCGTTATATGGCTAACTGCGTTGGAAGTTTAGCGAAATAATGCAACTTGGGTTTAGATAGCGGTTCTAGAACTAACCGCTATTTAAAATATACTTTTAATAGCGGTCAATTCTACAACCGCTATCTAAAATCTCGGGTAAATTCTAGCTCAAGCGACTGTAATTTCGCTTGAGCGAGAAGTGATTGAAATATGTGGTGACTCAGGTTGCATTATGTGGCTAACTGCATTGGACGTTTAGCTATGGTCAATTCTCGCTCGAGCGAGAAGTTCATCACTTGAGCGAGAAAACCTGCAGGTGACCCAGGTTGCATTATATGATGTTGCTGAAAGGGGAGTTTGTTCTGTTTATGAAATTATCTTGTTTCTGTATTGTTTTACCTGGAGCTGACTGTAATTGATTCATTGAAGGTGAATATGGGGATGATAGCATGTAAAAAGAATTTAAAATTTCTTGACTGATGGTTGGTTGGTTACTCAGGGTTAAAGTGCTTGAGGTTGTGGGGCTGTCAAGCATCAATTCTGTGGAGTGACTTAGAATGATCAAAGAAGTGTTTTTACAGTATTTTAATCGATACAAATTACTTTTAAGGGATTAAAACCCTTTAGAACCCATTATGACCGATCAGATTTAAAATATGAGCGATCAGAACTTATTTCAATCGATTAAAACACGTTTCAATCGATTAAAATCACTTAAAGGGTCAGAATGATCGATCAGAATGCAGTTATGACCTATCAGAGTTGGTTATGATCGATCATAATTGAATTATGACCGATCTGATCTGTTTCAATCGATTAAAACGCATTTCAATCGATTAAAATAACTTGGAAAAATTTTGTACAGAGTTTCAATCGATTAAAACGCGTTTCAACCGATTAAAACAACATGGAAAAATTTTGTACAAAGTTTTAATCGATTAAAACTTCTTTTTATCAGCTAAAATAACTTGGAAAGTTTTATAAGAAAGTTTTGCAGTATATCAATCGATTAAAACACGAAACAATCGATTGAATCGAACTTAGAAAAGTTTTGTAAAGTGTTTTAATTGATATAACCGTTGTAGTATCAGCTAAAACAAATCTGTTAAAGAATCAAGAACGTATTAATGGATTGAAAGGACTTTTAACAGATTGAAACGACTATTTCAACAGATTAAAACAAACTTTCAACAGATTAATTAATGCAGCAGTTTTGAAAATACTCTTTAAAATCAGTTTGCTTGAACTTTTTAAACATACATTGAATATCAGTTTTTACACATCCTTAAGCAATCATTCAAGCAAACCTTAGCACTTTTTCAAGAAGGATTCGCAACAATTTTTTGAAGTTCTTTTGAAATATATTTTTAATAGCGGTTAGTTCTAGAACCGCTATCCTAAGTCTCGGGTCAACTCTCGCTCAAGCACTGGGTTGTTTCGCTTGAGCGAAAAGTGATTGAAATATGTGGTGACCCAAGTTGCATTATTAGGCTAAACGTCCAACGCAGTTAGCCACATAATGCAACTTGGGTCACCACATATTTTAATCACTTCTCGCTCAAGCGAAATATCAGTCGCTTGAGCGAGAGTTGACCGGAGATAACCCTTTCTTACGGATTTCCTCGCTCAAGCGAAGGGTTTGTTCGCTTGAGCGATAATTGACCCGAGATTACCCCTTTGTTACAGATGTTTCTTCGCTTGAGCGAGAGTTCATTGCGCGAAATAATATTATTTTAATACGTGAACAGTAAACAGTTGCGCGAAATAATATTATTTTATTACGTGAACAGTAAACAGTGCTAGTTGTGTAAATAAAGTTACAGAGATGCTATTTTGGAAAATATTTTTAAAAACAGTATTATTTATGAAAAAAAGTCGTCATATGAAGTGCACGAGGAACAACAAATCATTTGTATTTATTATTGTTTTTTTATCATATAATACACCGGACAAATTTTGTTAAAAGATATATAATAAATAAATAAATAAATAATTTTTTTTGTTAATGTTAGCTCATATTAATTAATTTATTTATAAAATATACCTTTTATAGGAATTTCTTTAGTATAAAATGTATAGAAGCTAATTTGTATAATTTCTTTAAAATATAATGTTTAACCTGTGTAAAATTAACTTTAGTTTATAAAAAATATAATATAATATTTATTTTATTGATTTGAAATATTCATAAAGAAAAACCTATATACAAGAAGAAATAATAAACAATAAATATTTTAATACGAGAAATTATTAAAAATCTTGGACCACATGAACATGCATTAACTTCAAGTGTTATTAATATTTTCTAGTGGAATATATATTATATATATTCCCTCCATCCACAATAGCTTTGGCTTTTTAAAACAATTCTTAATCTATTGATGCTTTCACTTTTGCTAAAATATTAATTTTTTGTTCATATATTTATTGAAAAAGTAAGATTATTTTCTTAACATTATGAAAAAACTTTAAATTTTAACTATTGTGAGAGGAAGAAAATATGTTACACTTTTAGAACACATGTTTTCTCTTATTAATTAAAATTATAAAAAATTATAAACTGTATCTATAATAATTTTAAAGCATTTACGTATAACAATTCATAAAATTTGTAAAAAATAAAATATATTATCTTAATGTAGATCTCAATCAATAATATTTAAAACTAATTAAAAATATTTAACTCAATCTTATACATCTAATTTTAATTATTATGTGAAAAACAGGTAATTGATTTAATCTCATATAAAAAATGAAAAAGATTTTAATTTCAATCTTATAAGATAAGATTTATATTTTATATATAGTAATATTATTATATCTCTAGTGAATGTAAATATTATAAAAAAATGGTTATATAATATATTTAGTTTTTAAAAACTCTTTTAGTAATTCTTATTTTTTATAAGTTGTATTGAATATGTTAAAGTGTGTATTTGGTTAGAATAGAAAGATTAGTGAAGGTAATGGAATAAAAGTTGAGGTGGTGAGTGAGACAGTAGGTAGGGCAGAAATGGAGAGGATTGAATCGTAGGAGGTTAATGATGGAAAACACAATGATTCGATGATTGATTCAAGTTGAGGGAAGAGTGGAGCAAGAGGCCCCGGCTACGAGTCCAAAAAAATGATGTACTACATATAAGAATTAATGGATAGATCCCTTTACCATTTCCATTTTTATGTGCAGAGTGAGATCTGGTTGTCTGAGCACTATGTGCTTCAAATGGGGGAATGTGAATTCAGAACTATGGTGGCCTCTGCATTCTGATTCTGCAATCATCATCATCATCTTCCATACCTCACCTCTCAGAAAGTACGCAATCATTACTCTTTCTTCTGGACAACCATGTTCTTCCATGGATACCACCACCTTCCCTGCATTCTTCCTTCTCAACTCACTTAACCCTCCTCCAATTTCTCTCTAGTAAAACTAATAACACTCAACCATGTCATGCCATATCACCTTCAAAGGTTTATCAAGTTCCACATGTTTCATCTCTTATATAACTGATTGTTAAGGATTTTTAGGCAACCTTTAATTAAGGTCATGATCAACAAGATATTACTTCATCTTCTGTTCAAAATTTTAAAATACTATATTTATGATTTTTTTCTCATGTTTATATATTATTCAATTTTATAATTTTTATCAAATCATCTTATAAAATAATTATTCAATTTAGTAAAACAATTATAAATAAATATGTTGATTTTCACGTAAATAAACCTTCTAAAATTTTATATTTTCATTTTTATAAAAAGTTATAAATACCAAAAAAAAAATTAAGAAATATATGTTTTATCACGTCTTCTAAATATATTTCAACAGATAACACATCTTCATATATAATGAAATTAATGTTAATTTTTTCAAAAATAAATCACAAATTTCTTATATTTTTTATTAAAAAAAATTTATGGTTTATTTGATATGTTATGGTGTATTAAGTAATCTCAATCTACATACAAATAATTTATTAAATATTATTTTAAATCATTTAAATAAAATAAATTTATCTTTGGAGATAATACAGTATATGTTTTATTTTATTAAATATATTTTTATTGATCCAAAGGCTAACACTGACTAGCATAGAACAAATTGGAAAACTAATCTATCAAATTAGTGTTCTTTTATTATTATTTTTAATTTTCTATGTTAATATTATTTTATGGTATAATGTTTTTATGAAATGTTATTGATTTTATTAAATGGTTACCTCGTAATAACTTTTAAATGTAATTCGTGTTATGATAATTTAATAAAATAATTTTATTGTGACGGTGATATTATGTTAAGATTTTATATATTTATTTATTATGTCAACTTATGCGTTTTTTATTTTATTAAATCTTTTTATTCAAAAAAAAAATGTCCAGTCAATCCAACACATCATGAAATTAGGTTAAAATTTTCAAACTAATATTATAAAATATTATAATAGGTTGAATCTATCTCAATGTTTTTTTTTTACAAATTAAAAATAAGTTAAATTGAGTTTACTGTATAGAAATTAAAACTAATATCTTATAAGACCCACAGTTTTTATTATTTTTTACAATTTTTTTAATATACAGTTTTATAAAACCTACTGTTAGTGTGAAATCAAGAAATATGATCGATAAACGAACAAAGCGTATGATAACTTTTTCGATGTCCAATTATAAAGAACGTAGCACATAAAATCGAAAGGTAGAATCAGAAGGGTAGGAGTAATAGTAGAAGGCTTAACATGGAACAACTTTGAAGTATATGAAGTTAAGGTTAAAATGAATCGATGCCAGGTATACAAAGTTTTCGATTAAGTCGAAATCGAAGGGAAGGCTCGTCTATGTGGATATCGAAACCCCGGCTAAACCTTGAAGGGAAATAGTCAAAACGCACGTTTGGAAAGCAGTTTCTAAGTTATGGAAGAGGCGAAGATCGTGAGAATGTGGGAAACCGTAAGAGAGGAACTGTCATACGCACGTAGAACGTGGTAGCAGTCGTGTTAACTGCTCTTAGGAAGGTTTGAAGGATGCCCTATAAATAGAGCAAAGGAAGAAGGAACAGGAGAGCAAAAATTGGCAGAGCACAGAACCAGTAGTGAAAAGTCTACCGGAGAAACGACGAACACCATGAAGCTTCTGGCGGTCTGGATTTCCCTGCTCACGGAGTACATTTATCGCTTTCTTTATTTTCCTTGGTAATTTACTTTCGAGCAATTTCGATTCAGCAATTTCATGTTTTCGTACTTTACATTCAATGTCATTTCGATTCAATGTCAAATTAGATTTCTGCATCTAAATGTCTAGTCATTCAATATTCTGTCCATTTCGATTTTCGCATGTTTCGATTTCCTGCTATTTACTTTTCACGCAATCTTAATGGGTTTAGCACTTTACATTGTCTCGCACTTTAAAAATTCCGCTTTTCCGATTTGACGTCTTTACTGCCTTCGATACTTTAAATCACAAAAATATCAAAAATAGAGTTTTCAATACATGTAATTCTCGATTCTCATACACGTTGTCGATTGAAAATCAGATTGCTAGCCTAAGTAAAAAGAACTTACGTGGTAGAATTTTGATTAGGACCAAAACACCCTTAGAATCAAAATCGATCAAAATTCCACCAGAAACAAATTGGCGCGCCAGGTAGGGATAGTCTTGTGTTGAAAAAAACACAAAAGAGGTTAGTTCGAGAGTGTATGAGATTAAGAAGTGGGAGAGTTATAAGAATGAGTCAGAATTCATCCAGTAGTCAGAATAACAATGAGGGTCTAAGTGGTGTGCTCTCACCAAATACCGGGGGGCAAGGGCACAGTGGGAGTATGCCTGTAGTATCGACAACTGTAAGTACGTCGATACCAACAAGTAATGAACAAAATCCAGGAACATTGGCAAACACCCACATAGGGTCTAGTATGACGATACCAAACAATATGCAAACTATGGGAAACCCCATAACCACATATGCAGGGCCATATACGAGTGTAAGACCACCTGGTTTTTCACCTAATAACATGAACGGAGCTGGCACTTCGTCGATACATAGAAATTCACGATATAGCTTAGGAATGCCTCCAAACGTAGGTACATTTCAAACCCTAGGCATGCCGCAAAACTTTGGAGTTGCTTCACATTTAGGGACGTCTCAAAATTCAGTGACATCACAAAACTCAGGGAGTGGGCAAAATTTAGGTATACAACAGACATCTCCGAATCTAGATCCTAGAGGGAATCTCGATCATGGGAGGTATGCATTTGATAGGGACTATCATCGATCTAATTTTGAGAATATCGAAAATACCAATACTGGAATTTCCAGTAACTCCTTAGGAATACTTAGACAACAAATGGATGAGAGTAATTTTGAAATGGTGAATATGTTATCACAGCAGTTGACTACTGTCCTAAACCCATTAGTTCAAAATACTACTGCTAGTTTTGAGATATTAGCAGATCAAATGTCTCGAATTGGAGACGCATTGGCTGTACCTCGACAAACAAGGATGGAGAATCATGCCAATCAGAATATTAATCCCCCTTATTTATTAAGAAGAAATCGAAACAATGATCAATATCAACAAATAGGGAATGAATATCAACATGTGAGGAATGATATTTATGGAAACCTGAATGAGGGACTTCAAAATATGCGTAATCAGAATAATATGCAATATAATCACATGTTAGGACAAAGGATGAATCTCCAAGGGATGGATTTAAGACCACCTAATCGGACATATTTTGTATCTCCTTTTCCAAATGCGATTCTCGAAACGAGTTGCCTCGAGGATACAAAGTGCCTAAATTCACTAAGTTTGCTTGGAGAAGTTGGTGAATCGACTATCGAGCATGTAGCTCGATATCAAATCGAATGTGGAGATTTAGCGATGAGTGAAGAGCTAAAAATGAAATATTTTCCTAGTTCTTTGACTAAGAATGCTTTTACTTGGTTCACTTCATTGCCACCCAATTCGATATACAATTGGTTACAGTTAGAAAGAAATTTTCATGAGCAATTCTTTAGAGGAGAGACTCAAGTAAGTCTCATTGATTTGATGAACATAAAACGATATAATCATGAAAACATAGATGATTATCCGAATCGATTTAGACAAATGAAATCGAGATGTTTCACTCAAATTCACGAATATGAATTAGTCGGGATGGCTTAGCGAGTTTAGAATTCTCGATCGGGAAAAAATTAGTGAATTTGCCATTAAATGACATGGCTCAATTAGGCTGATAAAGTGAGAAGAGTGGAGCAAATCGAATATGAGAAACAAAGATACAAGAAATTTGAGAAACACTGTGAAAAAAGAAAGAATAGCCTATATAAATGATGTGTATGAGGTAGATCCCACGACAGAAAGTAATATCGAAGAAAATGTCGATGAGAAAGTAAATATAGCGAGCTCAAAATAGGAACTCCATATACTTGTAAATTACTACGGAAGAATGAAGTGAAAGATAAAATGGCAAATCGAACTTATACTTTCGATGTAACAAAGGCGAGATAAGATCTTCGATATTCTATTAAAAGATAAACAGATTAAGTTGAGTGACGATCACAAGCGCCTCTGCGAGAACAAAGAAGTGGTCGAAAGTATTGCAAATTTCATAATGTTTATGGACACTTTGGACTAACAATTGTATACATTTCAGGAACACGATCCAAGATGCGATCGATCAAGGAAGAGCTGAAGTTTGGAGAAATTGCAATGAAAGTGGACACGAATCCTTTCGAAGTCCAAGTGGGATATATTGAATCCCAAATTGAGATAAATGATGATCTGTAGATGGCGAACACCACCTTCATAGGCATGGTCGATGTTCGCGAAGACATCGATCCCAAGCATGTCGGGATGGACGTATCAGAAGAAGATATGAAATTTGATGCGAGTGAGTTCGAGAAGGAATTCGAGAAGGAGATATACCCTCAAGCGGGAGATTCCCTCGTTGAATTCACGAACGAGAAAGAAAGAAAAAGACGAAGATGTATCGCTATGCCCACGATGCGGTGCGGTGTTCGATAAATCGAGCGCCAAAGCTTTCGAGAATAGAACAAACAAAGAAAATCGAGAGTCAAAACAAAAGGAAAAATGACAAAGTGGAGCAAACGAGTCAGGCCGGCTATCGAAGAAAGTCAACGAAATCTGTTGGATGCGGTGTTAGCGGAAATCAAAGGCAATGGGTTAGAAGAGAGATGTACCCCTCTCGAGGAGGAAGAGGAAGACTTCAAAGTAGTGATGTCTTCGAGAGACTATCATACGATGAAGGATCGAATATTGGGTTCCCAACATTCCCAGAAGATTCGAGGAAGGCCCTGGAGAAGAGGAGGAAGGATCCCTTCTTGGAGTAATTATAGAAACTTTGAAGAGAATATTGTACTAGATGGAAAGCCAATATGCAAGAGAGTTTTTCGATGATAAAAATG